AAAAACGAGTTTTGCAATACACTATCAAAAGACACGCGCCCTTTGCAGTAACGGGCGAACAAGGGCTGCTGCTGTACGCGATGTTGACGTACGCGGTAAGGAATGCCAAAAATTTCATTACAGTGACTAAAAAATGTCGCGTCTTGAGCATAGAAACGTTCGATCAGCGCCATACACGTGGCAAAAAAGGAGAATAATCCGTACACAAAAGCCACAAAGTTACGAAACGGTATTCAGAACTAACATTCCTTGTAAGAATGTAGTGTTTTCGAATAGTATCGCACACAAAACCTCATATTTGTTACGAAGGTTGACATTTCATAGGAATGTACCCTTGGATAACGTTGTTCAAGTTATGCAAAGTTAAATTTTGGGAAAGATATGGTTGGGGAGGATAGTCAACTATGAATGAAAATTCTGTACAAGACATTTCATGACAAGTTGACATTACAATCCAACGAGCAATAGGTGGATGTACCATCAATTGTGACTTGTTCTGAGGACGCGTCCCTCCCCTCCCTCCATCGATCGTGCAATATCGAACCTCCACCGCACTGAAACCCCGCCTGATGCATTCCACGTCTAGCAGAACCTTTTCTAATCCCGCAAAAATCCGAACCTGCGTAGGTTCGTTAGGGGGGACACGTTCTGAACGTGGGCACAGGAGCTCTCCATCAACTTGGACAAGCACCAACTCCTCCACCCACCAACTCGCACTGCCGTACCGTACCCTACCGAACGAAAGCCACAACGACTGTTCTTGGTGTGACGACGATCCCCTTTTCAGAAAGATAGTAGCATCACCGGTTAGCGCCTTTCGTGCGTCAGAGTCGGTGGGTAGACGAACTGTTAGATCCGAGTGTCGTTGCGGCGGGTGACCCCGAGGAGGCAAGGGCCGAGGAGGCGAGGGCCAGATTGAGTAGGGGTTTTTGCGATGATTGGCCTGGATGCGGGCTCAACGTCGGCGATGGCACGTGATCGAGGGCGCGTGCAGCGCGCGTGGGCACTGGCGTGGTGGCTCGCCCTCCTTGTCGCGCCCGTCGCGATGATCATCATGGTGAAGGCCGTGCCGCTCGAAGCCACTCAAGGCAAGTGTCGCTCGAAGGAGATTGCCCTTTTTGATCGAGAATATCGATAATTCGTTACGACCGACCCAACATAAAACATGCCTGGTTTGTCACCGAAATGGCGTATCCGGCTTATCATGATCCGCGCTCGTTGCACATGTCCCGCCACACGCGGCCAGAGAGCCAAGAGCGAAGGACAGAGAGCGAAAGGGCGATGGACAGAGAGCGAAAGGACGAAGGACACAGAGCGAAAGGGCGAAGGACAGGAGCAAAAGGGCGAAGGACAGAGAGCCAAAGGGCGATGGACAGAGAGCGAAAGGGCGAAGGACACAGAGCGAAAGGGCGAAGGACAGAGAGCGAAAGGGCGATGGGCAGAGAGCGAAAGGGCGATGGACAGAAAGGGAAAGGGCGAAGGTCAGAGAGCGAAAGGGCGATGGACAGAGAGCGAAAGGGCGTCAGACAGAGAGCGAAAGGGCGATGGCCAAAGGGCGAAAGGGCGATGGACAGAAAACGAAAGGGCGATGGACAGAAAGCCAAAGGGCGATGGACAGAGAGCGAAAGGGCGAACATGTTCGTGACAGAACCGAACCGAACATGTTCGTGACAGAACCGAACCGAACATGTTTTTTGGTCACAAATGTTCGGCCGAACATGTTCGATGTTCGGAAGGGGGGAGAGGGAGGCCACGGGGGAGGAGCAGGCCCACTGAAAACACACTCTCGAACCTCGAACATGTTCGGGTTCACCCCGAACATGCAGTGTTCGCCCCCCTTTCACGAACACCGAACACCTAAAATCGCCAAAACATGTTCGGTTCGCCCAGAAGACATGTTCGTGGAGGTTCGGGCGAACATGTTCGGTGTTCGCCCGTTGCTCATGTCTACCTCACCTTGCTCTTCCTCGATTCCTGGTCCCTCTTTCTCTTCACTTCCCTGTTTTTACTGTTTACACCTTTGAAGCCTTCTCTTCACCTGTCTACCTCCTCCTGGTTGCCCCTTTAATATTTTTTAATTCGCTATTCCGCAAATGAATGCTTCAACTGTTGTTTCACGTACTTCTAGCCTCAAGCCTTATCTCGGCAATCTGTCTCCAAGGCACGATTATCTTCATTCATTATCCACTGTAGTCTTAAACTTTGAATCAACCATTTCAAACCTGTTTGATCGAACACAACTGAGGTATGGTTCGATGATCATGTCTTCGAACCATATTATGACATTTCCGTCACTCCTATTGTTTCACAATCTTTTAGCATCCTCCGTTTTATTCGTTATTGACCCTTCATCTGGTTTGGTTCGATGCTCACGTCTTGCTGTAAAAATCATATTTTCGTCACTCATGTTGTTTCACATTCTTCTAGCGTCTTGCCTCGACTCATTTTTCTCCAAAGGACGATAATCTTCACCCTGCATCTGTTGTTTGTCAAACTCATCGCTGTCCCCCAACCCTTTTTAAAGAAATGTCCATGGCTTCTCTTGTATCCATTCACCTCACCTCGCTATAACCCCAATGATATTTATATCATGGCTTTCGATGTTTTTCTCAGAGACCTTTCACGCAACCAGCTGTCTAGCAGCATTCCTGCTACCATCAGCACACTCACCCAAGTTTCTTACCTGTTAGTAGGGTTGAGCAAGAGGCGAACACGAACGTGTTCATGTTCGCCCCTGCACGAACACAGCCGGCAAAAACAGATGTTCGGTGTTCGCTTGTGAAGGCGTGTTCGGGCGAACCTTGAACACGTTCGTGTTTGACGCGGGGCAAATTGCAGCAGCGGCCCGAACACGAACGTGTTCGGGCAAACCTCAAACACGTTTGTCACGAACACTCTAAGCTAAAAAAAAAACCTGTTCCGTTCTTTGCTCAACCCTACCTGTTAGTGACACTCTAGTCCAGTGCTGTCAAAATCCTCTCACAGAAACGTTTTTTTTCACGTTGAGCGTGACATGATACATAAAGGGATGACATGATACATACATACATACATGCAAGCATGCATTTAAGCCATACGTGAAGTGCCCACTTCCACCCCTTCATCAATGTTATGAAGGGATGGGTTGTGGTTCAAATGTGGTGCTCAGATGATTTTGCCTTACTTTGGTGTGGACAATTCTATTTTCCATCACACATTCAGTGCTTCCATGAACCATTTTCCTCAAGAGAAGTCATCAACAATCCACTCCTCACCCTAGTGCATGATCCTAGAGGCTCGTCTTGATGCAAAAATCCTTCCATCCTCCGTTTGACACAGGTAATTTCCCTTGTGCTTTCCCGCAGTATAGACATGAGCAACGAGTTGAGTATTTTACTCGTCTCGTTTTCGTAACTCGTTTGGAGCAAGTACCGAGTATGCAGCTTCCGAGATATTACTATGTTTAGACGAGTCGAGTATTACTCGTTTTTACTCGAGTACTCGTTATTTACTCGTTTTTGAAATCGAGTAACGAGTAATTTTGTGTAAAACGATTACTCGGGGAATAAACGAGTACTCGTGAATTAACAAGTACTCCGTACTCGCCGATTACTCAATTTCGAGTCTGGAGGAGGAGGGGGGGGGGGGGGGGGGGGGGGGGGGGTTGGGGACGATGTGGGGGGGATTGTGAAATTTGTGTTTGCAGATCTGTTTTCCGCTCGATCTGCAATCACAATTTGGGTTTGCAGATCTTTTTCCCGCTCCATTACTGCTTGCAGATCTGTTCCCCCCCTAAGTTGCCAAATACGCTTATAGCGTACATACGCGTATCGTATATACGCTAGCGTATGTACGCTATCCGCGTAGGGGGTCGATGTGGACATACGCTTTTTCGGGCAGGGAAAAAACTTTCCGGGCAGGGTGAGGAAAAAACTACTCCGTATTCTCACTATGGCGTGCCCTAGCAGCATTCTTCTGAGTCCGAACGGCGGGTGGGGCGGGAGGTGGGGTAGACATTTCAGCTAGAGAGAGTAGGAGTGGGCGGGAGGAACGTTGTTGGAAGCGGGAACGATTCGTGGGAAATGACGAATTAGCAGCTAGGGGTATATTTTGAAGGGTTGGAGTTTGTAGATGGGTTGGGGTTGGAATGGGTTTCAATGCGGTAGATGAGATGGGTTTCAATCAATGTGTAGATCTGAAATTCGACATTTGTGCCAAATGTGCCTGAAAACTTCGAAGTCAGATCCCGGCTAGCCTAGACCACGGATTTTCATTTCGACTTCGGCGAAATGCTCACGTAGAAATTCCGCAACTATTTCGCGATATTTTTTTGGGGCAGCCCGGAAAATTTTCTGAAAGCGTATAGCGTATTCGCGGGCGTATAGCGCATAGCGTACAAACGCTAGCGTACATACGCTATACGCTGAAGGGGTTGAGCGTATTTGGCAACTTCCCCTCGATCTGCCTACACAAGTTGTGTTCGCCGATCAGTTTTTCCCTTGATTGATATAGTTCCTCGACCTGCAAGACACACGCTTCCGTTTTTAACCCGATCAGTTTCCCCCTCGACCTAATCGACCTACAAGACACAACCTCCTATTCTAGACTCGTCTCTAATCCTCGCACGCCAATGTGTGCGCATACCTTAGCGTAATGGGTCATGACCCTTAATTTAATCTTTGCTGCAATGAGGAGCCAGTGTCACCAAACACGGCCTGGGTACAAATACCTACAGAAAACAAGAAAACAATATAAAACAACACGATGAGTATTACTTGATCCAAAACGAGTAATTGATTACTCGGTCCGAGTAATGAATTACTCGTTTTTTTCAACGAGTAACGAGTCAGCCCTAGGGGTAAAATTATTCGTATGAGTAATACTCGACTGGACTCGTTTTCAAAACGAGTCGGCTGAAAACGAGTCGAGTAATACTCGTTTTGGCATTTGCTCATGTCTACCGCAGTAAAACCCCACCCGCCGGTCTCGTTCTCCCTTCTTGCATTCGTACGCAATGGCAGGTCCCTCAGGAGTAATCAGCTCACGGGTTCAATCCCTGTGGAAATTGGCTCTCTACTATCTCTGACATCCCTGTAAGGCGCATTTCTGCCACATGAGCACAATTCTAGGCTGAGCCGGCTCGTCTTGAGCCGAGACAAGCCGGCGGGCTGTCAAGCCAAGCTGGAGAGTCGGCGCGTGGCTCGTCCGTCTTAGCAAGCTGGTCGAGCAAATACAACCCTAATTTGGAATAATTACGTTTCGCGTTTAGTACGCTAGCGTCCATACGCTAGCGTCTGTACGCAGTACGCTGGCCGGAGGGGGTCTGGTACGCACAGGAATTCGCTTGCCCGCTCAGCTTTTTTTTTTTCCGGGCAGGTTAGATGCTACGTTAAGAGATGGAAACGGGAGCTGCCGTAGTAGTCCACTACCTGACTGCGGCTATAGTAGGTCATCGTCGGTGAAATAAGAAGGGAAGAAAGAATTCGAACGCAGAGATTATCGAAGGGAAAAACGTCCTGACATTGGGTGGGGAGGATGAGTCTGGTTGAAGTGTCTTCCACTTGAGTCTGCTAGGGTTAGAAGGATTTATCCGAGGCCGATTCAACTTTGTTTTGGCCTGGAACCTTCCACTAAGTCTTTGCAGCTGTGTAGCCTTCACCTGTCGGGAACAGGGAGCCTTAATACCATGCTGCTGGGAGAGAATATTAACTCTTCGGAACGCTCGACCCTTGTCAACGCTCCGGAGTGGGGTCCCCAATTTGCCCGGTACCGTTACAATTTCTGACTCTCCCTTATTTTTTTCGAAGGCTTTAAAACCACAAGTACTAACATTCACAATTAATGTATCTTTAAATGATAAATTTAACGAATGCTTACTTGTCCGGGTATACGGCTGGAGTTAACGTGAAGCTGGCCAGATTTGGCTACAACTCTTCGGTAAGGATTCCACCGTAGTGAATTAAGCTGGCCAAGGTTCGGCTATGTGCCCTGAATGTGACTATACTGAGAGTACCCCCAGACTTGAACTGTTCGAGTTCGGGTTAGACACCTAAGTGTTCGACCCTATACTCGAACAGTCGAACACTACCCTTTTGGGGAAAACTGTTCGAGTCGAACGTGTTTGCTTCCCTCGTTGCTCATGTCTAGCCCGGAGGAGGGGGGCATAATGCTAGCACTATGCAGTGACTGCGAAGACGAATTTTAGGTAAGTGGGAAATTGAGGAAAGGAAAATTGTGTTCTGGGCCTGCTGCTTTTGGTAGATTCAAGGGAGATTACACGGGCAGGAAACCTAAGGTCCGTCTCATGTGAGTAGAGATCTTTGAGAAGACAGGTTGGGATTGGAGACATAGCGGGAGTGCGGTTTGGAGAGGTTGTAGAAAGTGAAAGGGCTGGGAAAAAAGTTTGGGATGCATAATCTGTTGTTGAGCTGATGGCACGGGTGCGGCCGCTCTAGATCTCGAAAGGAAGCCCTAAGAAGTTACAGCTACAAGCTGGGTTGTGAATGAACGATATTGAAAATTAGGATCAAAGCTGGCGATTCTATCCTGCTGTTGTCACGTTGGGCAACCTCTGTGTTTTGTCAATACACCTGCCTTGCCTTACCTCCCTCAGCTATCTCTACTCCAACATGCTTTCTGGCTCCGTGCCCTCCTCAATCACAAAGCTAACTGCACTGACGGTTTTGTGAGATCTTTTATTCCACAACTAGAACTGAGTTTGCTTACAGCTCACCTGAAGGAATCGTGCGCTGACTAAGAAGCAATATTTTCATTCTCCAAGCGTGCCCTTCTGTCTCACGTGCCTCTGCCTTGTGCTCTTCTGTTGTAACAGAGCTCTTGTTATGCTGTTGAGGCGTAGCTTTTACGAGCATGGTCCCACACATGCTTCAGCATTCTCCTGTAGACATCTCGTTCACCACATCCGTGTGTGTGCTTGACAAAGGAATTGGCATGTCTGTCTGTCGTGTAACCAATCGCTTCACTTTTATTTTTAGTGATGCAGCACAACCTGGACAAGGCGAGTATTACTTTTCTTTGCTACGCACAGATCATCGTAGTTGTCATCGTAACCTACCTTAGGGATGAGCAAGGGGTTAACACGAACATGTTCGTGTTCGCCCCTACACGAACACATCCGTTTGCCGAACCGAACACTATTCGGTTCGGCGAACACTTAAAGCAAAAACAGATGTTCGCCGTTTGCCTGTGAAGGCGTGTTCGGGCGAACCTCGAACACGTTCGTGTTCTTCGCGGGGCAAATTGCAGCAGCGGCCCGAACGCGAACGTGTTCGGGCGAACCTCGAACACTATTTGACGAACACTTTAAGCAAAAAAACAAACCTGTTCGGTTCGCCTCGATTGTGTTCGAGGCGAACCGAACAGGAGTTCGCCCTTGTGCTCATGTCTAACCTACCTAGCCACGGACGGATGTAGGCTAGTACTACTAGCTAAGTGACGAGTAAAAAAATACTCATGACAAAGAAAAACACAGTGTGAGTGTGAGTTACGGGGCAATGGGAGTCGAGAAGCTCCTCATCCGAGTAGCACTACTAGCTCGCCCCGTTAATCAAACTAGGTACCTCCCAAAACGGAATACGTTACTGAAATCGCATTTTGCTAATGTCTCTACCTAGTTCAACCACTCGCCCGTGCAATCACTCGCCCTCGTTGCACGGGGTCCACTGTTTGTGCACCCTGATTGGGACAGGTCGCTTGCCACCAACCAGCTCAACGGCCCCATCCCGGCTGACATTGGTGTTCTCACCAAGTTGACAAGCATGTAAGAAGAATGCGTCTACTGTTGTTTCATGTACTTCTAGCCTCAAGCCTTATCTCGGCAATCTGTCTCCAAGGCACGATCATCTTTGATTCAACCATTTTCAAACCTGTTTGATCGAACACAACTAAGTAGGGTTGAGCAAAGTGACGAACGCCTGTTCGGTTCGCCTCGAACATGTTCGAGGCGAACCGAACAGGCTTTTTTTTTGGCCTTATCCGTTCGAGGCGAACATGTTCGGTGTTTGGCCGAACATGTTCGCCGTTCGTTTTTTTAGAGAGGCCCTACATGGGCGAACACGAACACTGTTCGTGTTCGAAATGTGGTGACGCGAACACTTTCGTGTTCGCGTCACTTTTGGCCGCGACCAAATTTAGGTCGCGGCCAATTTGAGTTTGAGCTCATTCTTTGAGCTCAAACTCAAATCCCTTTCAGAGATTAGTATGGCCGCCCCCAACCACCATAGCCTAGCTGTCTGAGCATCCGTCTAGGGTTAACTAGGGATAGGCGTAGGGTAAATCCTCGTTCGTTTAAGCTTTATCGCCATCGATTCCACTGCTAGCGGTCCAACCTACAGTGGACGGGCTTGGCTCGTCTGTGCGCATTCCGTAACTAGGAGTTGAATAAGGAGGACCGTGCTGTCCGTGGCACGCGAGTTTAGACCGCGGTCGTTGCGCACGGGTTTTAGGGTTTAAGCGCCTAGGGTTTAGGTTATGGCTTCCGGCCAATCCGGATCTGCAGGGCGAGGTGCAGGCATTGGTCCCGGTGGTACACCAGGTTCTCCACCACGGCCTATGCAGGGCCGTGTAGGTGACGGTCCCGCAGGAGCCGGCAGCTGTTTTGTCGGGGGGTTTCTTTCCGTAGGGGCGCCGGCATCCCGTCACTCGTTCCGTTTAAGTGGCGTGCGACTCCATAGCACTGGGCTGACGCCGCAGGAGAGCGGCAGTGAGGATGATGGTGAGGGGGAGGACGAGGGGGAGGAGGAAGAGGAGGAGGACGAGGAGGGAAGCGGGGACGACAATGAGCCCGGGTGGGATCCCGAGAAGCATGGCGGAGGGGAGGGGGGGGGAGACGATGAAGACGAGGAGATGGATGACTTGGAGGTCGAGGACGAGGAGGAGGGGGTCGGAGAGGGTGCTGGAGGGGTGGCTGCAGAGGCGGCGTCCCAGCACGTAGTTGAAGGAGGTGGGAGCGTGGGTGTTAGGGTGGCGAAGAAGAAACCGATCGTTACGCCGCTGTGCAAACGGAAGAGGGTGTCCAAGAACAGGGTTCGAGCGTATCCATGCACGTTCACTGGGGAGGCACTGGGAGAAGGTGTCATCGCCCCGGAGTTCCTTGATGAGGACGAAGAGTCGGAGAGTAGTAGGGGGACTGTCAAGGGTGCAAAGAAACCGGGCTGGCAGGTACAAATGTTCGGGCCTAAAGGGACAGACGGGAAGCGACAGTGCAAGATATGCACAGATAGGATTTCGTGGGCGCAATCCACAACAACACACGGCGAGCGTCACTTCAAGAGCTTCCACACCGCTCACATGCACGTGTGGCATCACCGCTTCCACAACCCGTCTGTTCAGTTGCCTGGCGAGACATTTCCACGTGGTGGCTACACGGGTGTGCCGGATGGGTACATCTATCAGTGGCCGCATGCCAAGACCTGGCCGAACATCGCAAAGCACAAGGGGAGGGCGTCCGGGCGAGACGGGATCGAGCGGTACATGACAACGAAGCTGTCCATGGAGGTGCTACGGCAAACGATCGCCAAGCTGGTGGTCACCTGCGACCTCCCCTTCCGCATCGTCGAGGCCGCGGCGGTGAGTGTCACATCCATGCCTACGTTGGGCCGAGTTGGTGTTTGGATGGGGTGTGCCGGTTTGTCACAAATCTGCCCCCCCATTGTTGTAAACCCTCATTCGCCCCGAAACCCCACCCCCCTTCCCCCCCCCCCCCCCAAGTTTCGGGAGCTGTTGATTCTCTTAAACACCAACTGCGCGAAGAAGAACTTCATCCCCTCACGCAGGACGGTATCCCGCGACACGGTCGTCTATGCCGCTGCCGCACTCCAGTCCGCCATTGCGGAGTTGTTGGCAAAGGAGGGGGAGTTGGGGTGCAAGGTGTCGTTCACAATCGACATGTGGACGGCACCCAACGGCAAGGCATGGCTGGTGGTGACGGGTCACTGGATAGATGAGAACTTCCAACTGCGCACAGCGGTGCTAGAGTTCCGCGAGATGCTCGGGCGACATGGGGGCAAGGATATGGCGGCGGTTATGGAGGATACGGTGGTGCAGTGGGGGTTGGAGAAGCGTTGCCTTGGTCTCACGACCGACAACGCCTCAAGCAACATAGCATGTTTCAGGATGATGTCGGAGGAGGGAGGTCGGAGGGGCTTCTTCGACTCGCGCATGCATTTCCGGTAAGTGTGGAAGGGTGCATGGGTTGGGGGAGTGTAGGTCGCATTGACCATGAACAATCTGTCTAACCCCTCCTTCCGCCCCTATTGGCTCGTTCCAAGCGCAGATGTCTGGCGCACGTGATCAACCTTGCTGTGCAGGCCGCACTGGCAGTGGACGCCATCAAGAAGCTGTTGAAGATTCTCAGAGACATGGCGTCCTGGGTCGGACACTCGCCTAAGCGCTCGGCTAAATTCATGGGCCTTCAACGGACCCTGAATTCGGCGGCCAACCCCACCAAGCCGAAGCCAGCGTTGAAGCTGGTGCAGGACAGCCCGACGCGCTGGGGGTCCACCCATGATATGGTGGAGCGCATCCTGATTCTGCAGAACCCCATCACAGTCTACTTTGCCCAGACACAGGTGTGTTACTTGGCGTTGCCTGGCTTTGTGGGTTTGTCAGTGAGAGTGATTGCCCTAGTTTGCGCAATGCATTTGGACAAGCGTGTTTGGTGCCAGTACCCTTAGACCACCCTAAACCCCTGTTCGTCTCCACCTACCCGCCACCCCCACCCCTATACCATACAGGGCTTGAGCAAGGACGACAAGAAGAAGGTGGAGGGCATGAAACTCCAAGACCCAGACTGGGAGACCTTGCAGGCAGTGAAGACCTTCCTCAGCCCCTTCGCCAAGGTCTCCAAGGCAGCTGAGGGGGATGCGTACCCGACTGTGTCGATGGTCGTGCCGTACTACAACGGCCTCATCGACGCCATGGAGTCGCGCCTGGCGAAGACCCCATCTGCGACGCTGGAGCCGATGATCAAGGCGGCGCTGGAACCCTTGAAGAAGTACGAGTACATCACCAGCAACGAGTACTGGATCGCCACCTTCCTGGACCCATCAATGAAGGCGGTGTGGTTCGACGACAAGCACTGGGAGAAGCAGCATCCCGAGACGGTGAGGAGGGTGAGGCCGCGTCCCGCCTCGAACGAGGTGATCAAGCTGGTACGCGACCGCGTGGCCGAGTATCAGGCCAGGGCTGCAGAGCTTGCCCCCCGGCGGGACCCACTTGCCACCGTGGCGGAGGATGAGGCGGGAGACGAGGGGGACGAGGACGAAGACGCCCAGTTTCTCCCAAGTCGCCGACGGCTAGCGGCGCGACTGCCGGCGAGCCAGGAGGCAGGGGGAATGGTGCAGGATGATGAGGTCAGCAGGTACTTGTCCGAGAGGGTGCGGTCCGACGTGACAGCGCTAGAGTACTGGCGCACCTCCACCAACATGCAAACGCTGAAGCGCATGGCCCGGGATTATCTCGCCATCCCTGCCACGTCCGCTTCGAGCGAGCACGTGTTCTCTCTTGGACGCAACCTCATCTCCTGGAAGCGGCACCGCTTGGCCTCTCAGAGGACACAGTCTATCATGATCCTCAGATCTTGGTACAGTTCCCACCCTGGCCAGAGGATCGGCGAGGGTCGCCGACCGAAGGGCGTCCCCCCACCTGAGTTCGCCATTGAGGGAGAGGGGGACGAGGAGGACGACACGGAGGACGAGGAGGAGGCGGTGGAGGCAGAGGCAACTGGTGGAGAGGATGGGGTTGTTGGGAGTAGCAGTGGAGCACAGGCGTAGGGATCTGTTTGCCCTATGGTGCATTTTCACACACAATACACGATGTTGTAATTGTTGGTGCGTTGCGTGATCACAAAGACACCATGCAGTCCATTTCCTATCCTCCCGGCCCCTTCAATTCGTTTGCGGACTACTGTGACTATATTGAAATGCCCCCCTGGGCGAACTCGAACGTGTTCGGGTCGAACGTGTTCGTGTTCGCCTGTTTCCCTAGTATGTTCGCCTCCCAGGGCGAACCCCGAACACCCTAAGTCACACTATTCGTTCGCCGAACACGAACACTGTTCGGTTCGACATATGGCCATGTTCGCTGGGGGCGAACACGAACATGTTCGAGTTCGCCCCTTGCTCATCCCTACAACTAAGGTATGGTTTGATAATCATGTCTTTAAACCGTATTATGATATTTCTGTCACTCCTATTGTTTCACATTCTTTAAGCATCCTCCGTTTTATTCGTTATCGACCCTTCATCTGGTTTAGTTTGATGCTCATGTCTTGCTGTCACTCGTGTTGTTTCACATTCTTCTAGCATTTTGCCTCGACTCATCTGTCTCGAAAGGACGATAATCTTCACCCTTCATCTGTTGTTCCTCAACCTCATCGCTGTCCCCCGACGTTTTTGAAAGACATGTCCATGTCTTCTCTTGTAACTATTCACCTCTCCTCACTATAACCCCAATGATATTTATATCGTGCCTTTCGTTTGTTTACTCAGAGACCTTTCACGCAACCAGCTGTCTGGCAGCATTCCTGCTACCATCAGCGCACTCACCCAAGTTTCTTACCTGTTAGTGACACTCTAGTCCAGTGCTGTCAGATTCCTCTCACAGAAGCGCTTTTTTCACGTTGAGCGTGACATGATACATACATACATACATACATACATACATACATACATACATACATACATACATACATACATACATACATACATACATACATAAATACATACATGCATGCATGCATTTTAGCCATACGTGAAGTGCCCACTTCCACCCCTTCATCAATGTTATGAAGGGATGGGCTGTGGTTCAAATGTGGTGCTCATATGATTTTGCCTTACTTTGTTGTGGACAATTCTATTTTCCATCACACATTTAGTGCTTCCATAAACCATTTTCCTCAAGAAAAGTCATCAACAATCCACTCCTCACCCTAGTGCATGATCCTAGAGGCTCGTCTTGATGCAAAAATCCCTCCATCCTCCGTTTGACACAGGTCATTTCCCTCGTGCTTACCCGCAGTAAAACCCCACCTGCCGCCTGCCGGTCTCGTTCTCCCTTCTTGCATTCGTACGCAATGGCAGGTCCCTCAGGAGTAATCAGCTCACGGGTCCAATCCCTGTGGAAATTGGCTCTCTACTATCTCTGACATCCCTGTAAGGCGCATTTCTGCCACATGAGCACAATTCTAGGCTGAGCCGGCTCGTCTTGAGCCGAGACAAGCCGGCGGGTTGTCAAGTCAAGCTGGAGAGTCGGCCAGTGGCTCGTCCGTCTTAGCAAGCTGGTCGAGCAAATACAACCCTAAGTTGGAATAAACACGTTTCGCGTTTAGTACGCTAGCGTCCATACGCTAGCGTCTGTACGCAGTACGCTGGCCGGAGGGGGTCTGGTACACACAGGAATTCGCTTGCCCGGTCAGCTAATTTTTTTCCGGGCAGGTTAGATGCTAGGTTAAGAGATGGAAACGGGAGCTGCTGTAGTAGTCCACTACCTGACTGCTGCTGTAGTAGGTAATCGTCGGTGAAATAAGAAGGGAAGAAATAAATATAACGCAGAGATTATCGAAGGGAAAAACGACCTGACATTGGGTAGGGACGATGATTCTGGTTGAAGTGTCGTCCACTTGGCAACAAATTGGAAGGGATTGGATTGGTAATCGATGGGGGTGGAGTGTGTTGTTGAGTGGTGGATAGGAGGGGAGGGGATGATCCACAAACAATTCCGAAATTCAGATCTGAGGGTGCATGCAATGCGCGAACTCAGGTCTGAATTTCGAGACTCAAATTTGAGTTCGCCAGATCGAGAACTCAACTGATTTATTTTTTCCGGTCAGCCCGAGCGAAATTTCGGCGTGATCTTAAAAAAAAACGCCGAGCCCAGCGTACGAAATCTAGATGCGTATAAACTCAATACGCAATTTCAAACTTGCGCGTTTTTTTCAACTTATATACAACCCGGCTCCGACTTTTCCTCGAGTCAACTATCCACCAGATCCGCGTGCACGGGTTAGAAGTTACGCGTCTCCTGGACAAGGCTCGGCTCTTCCGGACATTGCTCGGCGATGATCAGACATCTCATCGAGCTGACTTCCAGGTCTTGAGAAGAACGGGTTGTCAAGCCGAACCGGGTCTTAACGACCTAGCAGCCGAGCCGGCGGAGCAGGATTGTTGGCTTAGCAGGATTGTTGGCTCAGCAGGATTGTTGGCTCAACTCGCACTGCTGAAGAGCTGATCCGATAAGCTGATCTGTCGGCCCAGACCTATGCTAATGTGTGTTCCCTACCCTACTATCTCATCCCTCTCGAATTTGTCACCTCCTTTACCTCTACACTTCTTTCCCGTCACTCCCTCCATTCCCTTTCATATCTTGTCTTGCAAACGCGCCAATGGTCTCGGATAATTTCTTCCCGTGCGTCTACCCCCCACACCACCAACAGCTCTCTCAGTTACAACATGCTGTCGGGATCTGTGCCCTCCTCAATCACAAAGCTGACTGCCCTTACTTTCTTGTAATTTGGTTTCAAGTTCCTAAAGGTCCTGATGGACCTGCAAGGATATCAGTTTTGAATAAAGATCCGTATTGTGCAAAAGCCTTTGCATATTGTGCAACCAACTTTTGCCGAGATAGGCCAGGGCCGGCACGAAACAAGCAGGGTCTAAAGAAGGTGATTCACTGTGTTTCTACCACAATGTTTTTTTCCATGTAGGTACTGAAATATAGAAAAAAAAACCCTGGAAAGTGTAATCACAGCTAATGCGATTCAGGCCAAACTCGGGCTAGCCTGTGATGAATCGCCAATGGCTGACTGCAACCCGACTTGAATTGACAATCAGGCTGGTGAGGTTCAAACTTGGTCAACCCATTTGATCTTCCTCATGTCAAGTCTCATGCTGATATCACTCCTTCCTTCCTTCTCACAATTCGTCCATCGCCCTTGCACATCCCCGCTTGTCCCCCGTCTCCCTGTCTCGAACACTTCTCTTGCAAGCATTAGCTTGCTGACAAAGCTGGTAGCAATGTAAGGATGTATTGTATTGTAGGTACTTCGCCCACATTCCTTGGCATGAGCAAGAACCAAACCAAAACTACGTCTACAAGAAAGTAAGAGCAGTGAGCTTCATGATGGAGGAGGGCACATATCCTGATAGCATGTTGGAGTCGAGAGAGCTGTTGGTGATGTGGGGGTTAGAAGCACGGGAAGAGAGGAGGTGACAGAAACGAAAGAGGAGATAGCAGGGAGTGGACGTGAACATAAGTCTATCAGTCTGATCCTTCTCCGCCGGCTCGGCTCCTGGCTCCACGAGCCGGGATCGTCCAGTCCCGGCAGTCAGCTCAATGAGTAGTCTACTAATCGGTAAGGTTTGACAGACTAGCCATGGGCAATAGCCCGACCCGATGTGAAGTTTTTTTGCCTGCCCACAATTTGTTTTTACACTGCCCGGCCCGGCCCTGCGATTTTTTAGCGTTTTCGGGACCCTCCAAAATGCGTTCTGCGTTTTAAACGCAGCGTTTAAACACAACACATTTAAAACGCAGAACGAGTTTTTTCTCCACTTGGCGACGAGCACTTCTGACACAGCTCGAGGAAAAGTTGGAGCCAAGTCGTATTGGCTCAACCAGCTTGCCAACGACGGACGATCCACGAGCCGGGTCAGCGGCAGGCCCGGCTCGTCAAGCAGAGTCTCCAGCTTGGCTTTTCAGCCTGCCGGCTTATCACAGCTCAATTCGAGCCGGGTCAGCCCAGACTTATGCTTATGTGGAAGAAAGGAGCCTTACAGGGATGTCAGAGATAGTAGGGAGCCAATTTCCACAGGGATTGAACTCGTGAGCTGATTACTCCTGAGGGACCTGCCATTGTGCACAAATGCAGGTACGAAGAACCAGACCAGCAGGTGGGGTTTTACCACGGGCAGCACCACGGAGAACGTCCCATCAAGATGAGGCCCTAGCATCATGGTAGGACGAGGAGAGGAATACTGGTGATTTTTCTTGACTGATATGGTTTATGAAACTAGGCCAGTAAGGAGAAAGAAGTGAAATTGCGATCGAAAAAGAATGGGGCACACCTATTGAATCACATCACATGTGAACCAAAACTCATCCATTCAGGATGAAGGGGTATAAATGGGTGCTTCACAAATGAATCCATGCACGCGTGTATACCTGAGTCATGTCACCCCCTTATGCTGCTAGCTCACACTCAACAAGAGAAAAGCTCTTCTGTAACAGAACTAGACTAGAGTGTAACTAACAGGAGAGAAATTTGGGTGAGTGTGCTGATGGCAGCAGGTGTGCTGCCAGAAAGCTGGTTGCTTGAAACGTCTCTGAGTAAGAAAAGAAAGCCAAAAATATAAAATATCACTAGGGTCATAGGGAGGTGAAAGGATACAAGAGAAGACAGAACAAAAGAAGAGGCAGGACAGCAATGAGGCTAGGTGAACAATATAGGGTGAATAATGATTGAAGATGGTCGCTCCTTAGAGTAGACATGGGCATAAGACCCGACGGGTCGGGTCGACCCGTCCCGTCCCGCCTTTTTTTACGGGACGGGTCGGATTGCCAAGACATGCCGACCCGTCGGAACGGGTCGACCTGTCCCGGACGCGTCGGGTCGACCCGCGACCCGTTTTACACCCATTCGAACGGGACCGGCCGACCCGTGCGACACGTAGGGGGAGAACGACACGTTTGGTATACGGGTCGTTAATGGAGAAAACGGGTCGGGTTGATCCCAACCCGTTTGCGGGTGAAATGGGACCCGCAAATGTCACTTCAAATTCTAGGTCACTGGGGGTCGACATTTGGAACCCCCAGCATCAGATCTAGTTGCGAATAACCAGATCACGCCCAAGTCCTTTGGGTGCTGGTTCAGTTGGATGGATATGATGACAGGGAGGGGTTACGTCCAGCGTCAAAACGTAGCATTTAGACACTTGATACTGGGCGTCCGTTTTGATGCTGGGCGTTGCCTGAAAAATATTTCAGGCAGCTCGAGCAATGAAAAATGAATTTCGGGAATTCGCGCAAAAAATGCGACTCCAGAATTCCACTCGACACCACACACCCCAAAAACGACAACACACAAAATCCAACCCCCCCACCAATCTCCACTGCACTACAACTAGATAACCCAACCCAGACTCACACATTTCAGGCCCTTCGGTTTAGGGACTTCACTTTAGGGTTTCGATCTAGGCAACCAGCAACATAGTCCCTTCACGAGCTAAGAGCGCTCATCTTGGCTGTCCATCGCCTTACCTACCCTCTTTCCTCCTCCCCACCCCCCCTTTGGATTCATTTTGCCTGCTCGAAGGGTTTTTTTTTTGCCTGCCCGCCTGAGTGTTAAATGAATGTCAAAACGAACGTCAGCAGGGTCACGTCCATCCAGCATAAAAAACGTAGCGTTTTGACTGTAGAGTAAAAAACGCTGGCTCCGTCAAATCTGTTTGAGGTTAGCATCCTGCACCCTCACCCCCTCATAGCTAAGTGACACCAAACGCTTTGATGGGCAAGCGTTTTGCAGTCAGAGAACGCCCATTGCTAAACACTATTTGCTTAAGGAGAAAAAAGGTGGGTGGAGCTAAACAAAAAAAAAAACCAAAAAACAAAAACAACAACAACAACAACAAAAGAACGGTATTGAAAGAGAAACCGCCAGAACAAGCGAAAAGAGTGAGGTAATGTGACGGTCGTACAAGAATGTGAGCTGTGTGAGCTGGGTGAGAGTGCTTGGTATGCTCCCATACAGCTTGTTGAAGGCGAGAGACCTGGTGGCAATGGTGGTGAGACGGAAGGACCTTAGAGGAGCGACGGGAAGGGTAGAACGAGAGAATCAGGTCAGAGGGAGTGGATAGAACGAGAGAAACAGGAGGAGAACATGTTGCCCAACTGTACCAGGTTGCGTAAGTAAGATCAACGGGCTGAGTAGACAGGTACCGTGGCTAGAGGCGTGATGGTGATACCGAATAATGGTGCATAACTCGCTTACTAATTCACTTATTTGATTCACTTGCAAAGCTAGTTGGGCCGCTTGAAGTATGCGCAGAATCAGAGGCAATTGTTGGAATTAGGGATGAGCAAGGGGTGAACACGAACATGTTCGTGTTCGCCCCTACACGAACACATCCGTTTGCCGAACCGAGCACTGTTCGGTTCGGCGAACACTTTAAGCAAAAACAGGTGTTCGCCGTTCGCCTGTGAAAGCGTGTTCGGGCGAACCTCGAACACGTTCGTGTTCGTCGCGGGGCAAATTGCAGCAGCGGCCCGAACACGAACGTGTTCGGGCGAACCTCGAGCACTGTTTGGCGAACACTTGAAGCAAAAAAAACAAACCTGTTCGGTTCGCCGCGAACGTGTTCGAGGCGAACCGAACAGGTGTTCGCCCTTGTGCTCATGTCTAGTTGGAATAGGCTAGTTGGTGCTCAGTTTTTTCTGATGCACGTGTATATTATTTCCAGCCTAGATTCATGTCAGATTCAGATTAGGTTCATTTTCTTGTTATTATCCTAGGCTGAACACGCCCTAGGTTCAATTGGGGTTTCACCCCAACCTGCTCTATAACCTTGTAAAGATGAGCACAGAACCAAACGCAGGTTCAGTTCGAAACGAACTCGATCAGTTCTAATTTTGTACCTCATTATTCTACCCAGCTGAACCGAACCAGAACCAGTTGTGGTCTTTCACGGTTGAAGCCACACCAATTTAGTTTGAACCATTTGTGAGCATGCAGCTTCATGATTCGTCCCTCATGGCATGGTTCGAACCGCACCAGTTCGACTTGTAGGTTCACAAGCCAGTTCTTTTATTGGAGTGGTCAAGAACCAGACATACTATGTATTGGCTGTTGCTGATGCCTATGGCAAATTTGAGATAGCAGAAAAGAGAACCCCCCAAAAATCTCCAGCACTTGCTTCTGGTTTGGCTAGAGTGCCACACATGTCTCAAACAGTTTGGCTCGATGACCGGACTGACATCGAGTCCATCCAAACTGCGCAAGGTGCTGGTTCTGTTCGAGAATGATTTGACTGACCTTGAACTCGGATTCTGGCCTGAAACTCACTAAAAATCGCACGGGCGGATCAGAGCAGCATGAAACCCTATCGAAGCACTGGCCGTTCGATGTACTGAACCAGTTCGTCCATGCAATGCATGACATTCACACCTGGAATATCGACCAGTTCAAGTTTAACCCTAACCCGGTTTGCCTTGAACCAAAACATGAAAAAAAAAAACAAACAAACAAAAAAAACCTGCCTTCGCTTTTCTGCTTACCTCTAGCGTATGAACAGGGAGAACCAGGCAGGAGCGTTCGACAGGCTTACAGGACTACTAGTTTTGTCATGTTACCAATCTCAGCAGGAATGGAGCCAGTGAACTGATTGTCATGAAGACTCCTGCATAGAGGAACAAGGAGTGCGATGCAAAGAGAAAGAAGGAAGCAGGAAAGCTAGAATATTCATGCCGGTCACCAATTACTGCGGGCCATAAATGAATTCGAGGATTGTATAGTATAGGGTTCGGACAATGGCGGCTCATTAAGTGTCTAGCTGGGATTTCTTTTAGTCGAAGATCCACTAAGGGGTTGCGAATGCCCGTCAAAACGCCCAAACAGAAACTCACGACTTGAAACCACTCTGTTCAAAGCGATGTCAAGAACAGCTCCGACTACCTACAATGCTGAAAACTGAACAGAACAAGGCCTTAAGTAACTGCTTTCCTACAATGTATTGCATGCTTTAACCAGAACTGTGAGCTCTACGCAGTGGGTGAAAACTTTAGCTCATGCAGATATTGGTAGATGAATCAGTTGCCCTTGGGTTGGGTGTTACCAAAATGTGTAACACACATTTCTAGCATGCCATAAGTCTTGTAATGTCATGCAGTGCTGCAATAACTCTGAAACGCTGAGGGCTCAATGAAGACATGTTAAAGCACTTCTTTCAAAAAGTCCAGATTCTGCACAGTTCTGTAGAATAAATGAGAGTGCCTTGACCTAGACATGAGCATATTCACGAACGCCTGTTCGGTTCGACTCGAACATGTTCGAGTCGAACCGAACATGCCTTGTCTTTTGGCTAAAAAGGTTCGATACGAACACGTTCGAGTTCGACTCGAACATGTTCGAGTTCGAATGCGTTTTTTTACCGCGCCGCTTCGAACTCGAACGGGTTCGAGTTCGAAATTGCCCTACGCGAACATCAAAGTGTTCGCGATAAAAACCAGCGCGGCATTGGTCGCGCTGGTTTCCAATTTATGGTTGCGCAGATCTGGGATTGAGCTCATTTCGAGCTCGATCTCGTGCTTTTAGTTTAGCATGGCTTAGGCTCCTAGTGTACACAAACATAAGCCAAGAACGGGTACTTAGGCATTTCCGCTACTAAGAGCCCGCTTTTAGCAGACCCTTCGCCTGTGGCGAAAGGCATTCGCCCGTCGACCTCTCCATCCCTCCTTTCCAAGGAATAACCTGATTTAGGGATGAGATCTATGGCGATGAAAGGGACTTGTGATACCGGCAGGGTGGGAAAACGACAGGGGACTTGTGGAAAATCCAGGGGCGAACTCGAACACGTTTGAGTTCGCCACGAACACTTAGATGTTCCCGCGAACATTTAAGTGTTCGCCTCTGAATGCGAACACTCGAACATGAGTTTTCTGAAAAAGTGTTCGAGGGAACCGAACACGTTCGGTTCGAAATTTCTAGGTGTTCGAAAAGGTTCGAATCAAACGTGTTCGGATTCGTGCGGTGCTCATGTCTACCTTGACCGTGCCATTATAGTGTGTTGGCACAACAGCGCCCAACCGAGTCCAATTGGCCCGTCACGCTGCATTGGTTTCCTGCAATGAAGGAAGTCTGCTCGCATGAGGCACGGCCCATCGTGGGTAGGCATAGGGATGAGCACCGGACGAACATCGAACATGTTCGCCCGAACAGTCACGAACACATTCAGTGGGCGAACCGAACATGTTCGAAATGATATGTTCGATGTTCGCGGCTCGCCCACTGTGGGCGAACATCTTAAATGGGGGCGAACAGTTGACATGTTCGGGCGAACCCGAACATGTTCGGGTTCGCCCACTGCAGGGAGGGAAAATCTGCTTATGTTTGAGTGGATATGAGCTTCTGTTGGGATATTGGTTTTAACTAGATTTAACGGTGCGAATCCTGAAAACGGGTTCACTAACCTAAACCAATGCTGAAACTAGAAGTTTCCACCAATGTAACCGTGACGTTTTACAACTTAAGGCGAAACATGCTGGTACAACCCTAAAAAAACGCCTTAACACCGCATGTTTGCATAACTAACAGTTGAACGTGGCGATTTGGTTTAGGAAGGTACCATGGGTGGCGGATTGGCTAGCCCTAACCCTAGAAAAGTAAATCAAGCTGTGAAACAGCTCGATCTACTTTCCCCGTCCCTTTCGTACCCAACCAGTGCGACCAATGTCGCGCTGGAATTTTCAAGAACGTCTCGGATGTTTGGGAGAACGCATTACACATGTGTGCGCCGCGAACGCCCGAACATGTTCGGGCCAAACCCGAACATGTTCGGGCGAACATTTAAACAATAAAAAACAGAAAAGTTTGGTTCGCCCCCGAACATGTTCGGGCGAACCGAACCCGCGTTCGCCATTTTGCTCATCCCTAGGTAGGCATGTACAATTCCAAAATGCGAGCGAACTAGCTAACTCGTGCAAAATGCTAGATCTCTCCAGGATGGGTCATGTCTGGTCGGCTTATAATGAGTGTCTTAGGGAGGGACGACCAGGTTAGGTTGGGAAGGACCGAAATAATCCTGCGCCATCACTGCCGGGCACATGTGGCAGAAGGCGGCATCCTCCTCATCCTTGTCCCCCTTTCCAGTTGGTAAAATTTTCCCCTTCTGTCTGGTTATGCGTGATTTGAGCCAACAGAAAAAAGAAACTGTCGAACCAGAACAGATTCAACCAAAACTAGATGGCAAAGTACAAGCCCAAGTTTGGTACTATGGTCATGCTTACTTGTACTATACCTACCGACCTGGCATATACTCCTAGATTACCAATACCATTCTAGCTGAATGGTGTGCTGCGTGTCAACCGATATTTAAAACAAATGGCATTGGCTGATAAACATGGTAGTACTTAGATTCTAGCCAGCCTGTGTGTGACTTACAAGGTAGCGACTTGAGTGAGAGCACTGACACTGGCAGGAATGCTTCCAAAAAGCTGGTTCATCGAAAAATCCCTGAGATTAAAAGGACAGGAAGCAGATGCATAGACCCTTAGTAATCAAGCAATATGAGCTTTGGAATCAAGGAAGGTACGAAACTGAAAACATGCCGGACTGGAGAGTGCTGATGGATGCAGGTGAACGTGCTGGAATAAGCTTCACCACACCTCCTCTATGGTTTGTGTTATAACACATCTCTGGTTAAGTCTTTCTCTCATCACCTAACTACCATGGCTCCTATCCTAGCACTCTATTACTGGGGCCTACAACTTGTGCACTGGGTCGACCCCACCCTATGCTGAGAAACACGCTCAGGAGTTGCAGCGTGAGACAAACCAATGGGAGTGATGTTGCATGCAAAATCGCAAACCAATGGGAGAAATTTTGCTATTATGCCAGGCGAGGTTACTGTTAACCCAATCTTTCCCGCGCCACCGCACATTCCCGCATTGCAATAACTCCCCCTTCTGGAAAGAAACTGACAGCACTGGACTAGAGTGTAACTAACAGGTGAGAAATTTGAGTGAGTGTGCTGATGGCAGCAGGTAAGATGCTGCCAGACAGCTGGTTGCTTGAAACGTCTCTGAGTACAAAAAGAAAACCAAAACATGAAATATCACGAGGGTTATAACTTATAGGGAGGTGAAAAGGTTACATGAGAACACAGAACAAACGAAGAGGCAAGACAGCAACGGAGAACATAAAACCAAACACACCCCCAATATTTTACGCCTCTACTGAACCGCTCTGAATCTAGAAAACCCACTCATCCAACTTTGATCCGTAAGACAAGTTGAACTAGCTCTGGCCATCTTGCACACCAGATCTAGTCGACTGCTAGGGCAGCAAATCCCCCCTCCCCTTCCCCACTATCCCCTCACACCCCAGTCATTTTTTATCCACAGCCCTGTGCGGACGCGGGGTGAGACTAGTGGGCAAAAGCGTCGGGTCGGTTCGCGACCAGTTGGCCCGTCACGTTGTAACACGGCCCGACCCAAATTCGAGTCGTGCCGGCCCGTGCCATGGGTCAGCGAGACCTGAATTCATTAGCCCAATTCGGGTCTCGGGTCAACCCTATCCGTGACCAGAAAGCCGACCCGTTACCATCGGGTCGGTTAATTCAGAAACATGACCCGTCTCAACGAAAATCCTCGGACGGGTTGGGTCAGTCCGACTCGTCGGGTCTTTATGCTCATGTCTACTTGCATGTCTCAAACATAAATGACCTGCATATTGACAACATAAATCTCCAGCACTTGCATTCTATCTGGCCAGAATGGCACATATGTCTCAAAGAGTTTGGATCCAATGGTCGGGCTGAAATCATTTCAACCATACACAAGAGAGAATGATTCGACGCAAACTTGAACTCCAGGTCTGCCCTGAAACCCCCTAGACATCGCACGGGCGGAGCAGAGCCACACAGGACCCAGCCGAAGTGCCCGTTCGATGTGCTGAACCAGATCGTCGATGCAATGCGTGACATTCACAGCTTAAACATCGCAGTTCCAGTCGAATCCTGACCCGGTTTGCCTCAAACCAAAACATGAAAAAACATAACCCCGGTTCGCTCTCCTGCTCACCCCTAGCGTATGAACAGGGAGAACCAAGCAGGAGAGTTTGACAGGCTTACAGGATTACTAGTTTTGTCATGTTACCAATCTCAGCAGGAATGGAGCCAGTCAGCTGATTGCCACGGAGACTCCTGCATGGAGGAACAAGGAGTGAAGTCAAAAGGAAGAAGAAAGCAAGAAATCTACAACATTCATGTCCGTCACCAAATAGTGCGGGCCAGAACGGAATACGAGGATTGTGCATTGGTTCAACCCCACCCGATCCGGCCTGGGTTTGGATTGGCCTAACCGAGTTCGGGTCGGGTCGGGACCCTGGCGCCTCCTCCAACCTGGCCTGGACCTGATGGGGTTGGGTCGGGTATGATCTAAAACCGTCTCTTGTGGACTCAACCCTTAGCCTGGTCAAATGAACCGACGGCATATGGGTGTATATTGGCTGTTGTTTTAAAATTACATACATCAAGGCTTGTCATTCTCTTCAACCAGATAAACATTACTCACTACCAACAAAACAAACACAATCAAACACCCTGTGTAGTTGAACCAAATATGTTTGGTTCGATGCAAAAGGTCTTTAAGGGACTGGTGTTCAAAAGCAATGTGTGTGGATTACATACAGTAGTTCCTTACATGGTTACCAGCTTCGTCAGCAAGCCAATGCCAGCGGGGATAGAGTTGGTGAGCTGGTTGCTCACGAGAGAACTGTCCGAGCCGAGACAGGGGTATGAGGGACAAGCGGGCTCCAACATATGTGAAACAACATCGGGTTCCCAATCAGGGTGTCCAAACTAGGCATGAGCAAAACCTGTGTGGCTGAAGTCTTGAAGGCTTGAAGAGCGCGGTTCTGAAACTCTCCACCCCTATCTGATTGGAGGCTGCGGAGAATATCAATATCGACCGAAGATTCATGGGCTTGTTTTCATTTGTAATTGAACTATGCTGCAATCAAGGTGTTAGTACTACTACTTAGGGATGAGCACGGGGCGAACACGAACATGTTCGTGTTCGCCCCTACACAAACACATCCGTTTGCCGAACCGAACACTGTTCGGTTCGGCGAACACTTTAAGCAAAAACAGGTGTTCTCCGTTCGCCTGTGAAGGCGTGTTTGGGCGAACCTCGAACACGTTCGTGTTCGTCGCGGGGCAAATTGCAGCAGCGGCCCGAACACGAACGTGTTCGGGCGAACCTCGAGCACTGTTTGGCGAACACTTTAAGCAAAAAAAAACAAACCTGTTCGGTTGGCCTCAAACGTGTTCGAGGCGAACCGAACAGGTGTTCGCCCTTGTGCTCATGTCTACTACTACTTGAAGGTGGGCACTGGCCAACCATTTTGGGATTAGATTTCTTGGCAGCAGATGCTTGCACTTCAAATTCGAAGTGCTTTTAGGCATGAACATACTCATTGGAGGAAACATGGAACAGTCGGGATCATGGAATTATAACTGATGTGAATCAGGCAAAACTTGTGCCGGTCACGATCAAACATTGGTTCGTGACTAACACCCACTGGCCAGACCCTTAAAATTGGCTCATGGACCGGCCATGATAGAAATCAGCTTGACCCGAACTGACTGGAACCCAACCTGATTAGCTTATCAGGATAGTCAGGTTTGATGCGGGCTAGCCCGAGTTCGACACGTACTCATGTCTAATCTCATGCCACTACAACAACCTACCCTCTCAGTGGTTTGCCTTGTCCATCTCCTTTGCACGGCCCCCACATGTCCCTCGTCTCACTGTGTCGGACAGTTCTCTTGCAAGCAACCAGCTCACCAGCTCCATCCCCGCTGGCATTGCCTTGCTGACAAAGCTGGTAACCCTGTAAGGATCTACTTTATGTAATCCGCCCACTTTGCCTTTTGAACCAGTCTCTTAGAAACCGTTCGCGTCGAACCAAACTGCACTCATGTGGAAATATACGCTCTGGACAGTGAGTGTCTAGTGCATCTACGCTAGCGTCTGTATGCTGGATGCTGAACGCTCGCCCCAAAACTTTTCGGGCGGCTAGGCGAAATAAAATTAAATAATGCGAGCGACGAGATTGGCATTCGTGATTTTGGGCGAATGCAGATACGAATTGGATCTGGTTGAATTTCGTCAACATTGCCTTATGTGCTGTATGTTATCCGCCCACATTGCCTTTTAAACACCAGTCTCCTAGAAACCGTTCAGAAACAAATGTCGAACATGTTCAGTTCGAATACACATGGTGCTCGAATGTGTTTGTATTTTTTCTAACGAGTAATGTTTATCTGGTGTCACAGATTTATTGTTTACCCTAAAAAATATATATATATTTATACATATATATCTTCAATTTAGAAACAACTGGCCAAAATCACCTATCTACCATCGGTTCATTCGAGCCGACCCGGTTTCGAATTACACCTGACCCGACCCTAACAAGACCAGGCCGGGTCGGAGGAGGCGCCAGGGTTCCAATTTGACCACGGGTCGACCCGACCCGACCCGAACCCGCCCCGATTTGGCCAAACCAAACCCAGGTCAGGTCGAGTGGGGTCGACCTGATGCACAAGTTATAGGCTAGGCCCTATAAATAAAGTGCTAGCATATCCATGATAATACTAACTATTTAGCAGAAGCAGGTGTGGTGATGCCTTTTACAGCACGTTCATCTGCCTTCATCAGCACTCTCCTGTCCGGCGTGATGTCGGTTCCTTACCTTCCTTGATAACAAACCTCATAGTGCTCGAGTAATTATCGTCTTTGCATCTGCTTCCTGTCCTTTCAATCTCAGGGATTTTTCGTTGAACCAGCTTTCAGGAAGCATTCCTGCCTGTGTCAGTGCTCTCACTCAAGCAACTATCTTGTAAGTCGCACACAAGTTGGCAAGAAGCTAAGTACCATGTATGTCAGCCAATACCATCGTTTGCAATATGGGTTCCGGTTCGACTCAAACCGACTCTACAAATTCAACAGTTTGATTTGCCAGTTTGCACAGTCAGGCAAAAGTAGAAAGCTGGGGCTCATTTCAGCAACTAGAAAGGTTGAAAAGGATGAGGAGGATGCCGCCTTATGGCACGTGTGCTTGCCTTCTTACCTGGGCGTCCCACCCACTTTAGGACAGTCATGATCTAGCTTGTTCGCGTGGTTTACCCAATTCGATCGAACCTCGAATTGAACATGCCTACTTATAATGGGCCGTGCCTCATGACAAGGTGCCTTCTGCCAGCCTGAGAGTAGAATCGATTGATCAGAAAGAATTTTCTATGGCCTTAATTACCACAAACAGGACGGGCTGGGTGGATACGATGTAATCGGAAGGAAATCTTGGGAGGATCCAGCCAAATCATGGAGAATTCGGATGGATAGGGTTGGATAGGGTTGGATAATTAGGGTATGAAAACGTGTACACCCAACTTAACCAAAACTAACTCACTACAAGTTGTAAACCTAAAACCTAAGACTGACACAAACTGCAAGCAATGTTCAATCGCTTCATCGCAACCAAGGCAGCGGGTCGGGCCAGTTTGACTGGGCCGGTCTCAGGCTGGCCGACGGAGACAAAAGAAGGCCCAGTTAGACACTTGCCGAACCGCCATGGGCCGAACTGGGCCGGGCAATGTGCTCATGCATACTGTACTCGCCTTGTATTCCATTTTGGCCTGCAATATTTAGTGACCGACCTGACTTTTCTAACATTCCTGCTTTCTTCCTCCTCTGCCAATCTTGGGATTGCATTCCTTGTTGCTCTACGCAGAAATTGTTATGGTAATCAGCTCACTGGCTCCATTCCTGCTGAGATTGGTAACATGACAAGACTAGTAATTCTGTAAGCCCGCCTCTGCTATTCTCTCCCCTTCTTTTGCCAATTTGTTCCTCACTCTGAGTTTCGTGAAAGCGAACCGGAGTTATTTTTTTCATGTAAGCCCCCAACTTATTTTTTTGTTCCTCACTCAGAAAGTTTCGGTTCGCTTTCTGCGCATGAGGAACAAATTGGCCCCCAGCTGTAAGCCCCCAACTTATTTTTTTTTTCATGTTTTGGTTGAATTAATTGATTGAACCCAGCTGTGCTGTCTTTCTGGTCCTCCTTGTTCCTCCCTGTTCATACACTAGAGGTGAGTAGAAAACAGAACCGTGGCCCTCTTGTTCGCGGTATGTTAAGGCGAATCAGGTCAGAGTTCTACAGTGTGCTTCGACTCTATTCTAGCTATCGTTCACACAAATACTTATAGTTTGCTAGGCTTCCTACTCATGCTATCTTAAATGTGTGACAAACTCCCTAAAAAACGCACGGGTGGACCAGAGCCGCACTGGTCCCAGTCCAAGCGCTGCCCGTTCAACGTGCTGAGCCAGTTCGATGCAATGCATGGCAATCACAGCTTGAACATCGACCAGGGAGGCTGGAAAGCGAGGATAAGCAAAGTAGGAGAATGACGAGAGGACCAAACTGAACCATCCGTTGGCTACTACGGTTGTAAGAGTGATACTCAGGTGAGAGGGAGGTGCTATGTCCCACAGCTTGTTTGTTTGTTTTGATCTAATACTGGGAATTTGTTACAACCCATCTATCCCCACGCGTGACACCCAGTCAGTGAAGCCAGATCGAACAAGCAACAGTGACAGCACCAGAACTAAGCCTGCTAGACCCAGCCGAGCAACTAGAACGTCATGGAACTGGCAAGGGTAGAGCCGCGTTCTTTTATAATGCTGCAAAGCGACAAGGGCACAGAAAGGACAGACAACGTGAGCAACACGGCTAGGGTGCGGACCAGAGCGCAGAGACGGCAAGTGGAAAGAAATGAAGGGAGCACCAGCTGAGCCGACACTGCACTAACAGTAAGAGGTCCATTGGAACCAGTCTGGCAGACGGAACCAAGGAGGGGGCAAGTGAGCAGTGCAGTGGGAGAAGGGAAGCAGCCAAGGTAAGAAGCATGGAGCCCAAGGAGGAGCAGGCAGAAGACACACAACGAGCATGGTGGCAAGAGAGAAGTGGAAGGCCAGCAAGGAGAGGCAAGAGAAGAAAGGACAGGAAGAGCAGGGGGAGCAGCAAGGAGGACATCATAATCCGAAAAGTTTCAGGGTAGAATTGGAGTTTATGGGGGTTCTCCTTTCTGTTATAAAAAATGTGCCGTAGGCTCTTCTGGGTAGTCATCAAAACCAATGTAATTTGAACTAGAACCGGTTCCGGTTGAACCGGCTTGTGACCCTACCAGCCGAATTGGTGCTGTTTGAACCATAGGAAACGAACTATGATGCTGTGTGCACACATACCGAATCCATCCAAAACAGATTGGCTTTGATTTGTTTTCACTCATGCCTCGTTATTAGGGGTAGGGTAGTAGGTGACAAGAGAAGAGGTTCAGCTTGAGCCACAAGGTTAGACTTGACAATCATTGAACCCGAACGAATTTGTTTCAAACTGGGTCAAACTGTTGTTAATACTGAACTGAACCATTTCGTTTTGGATCGAACCATTGTACGCTAGGTGGCGGTTCAAGGTTCGCGTGTGAGAGCCGAACATGCAAGGTACAAGTCAAACCCGAACTGAACTTGCTTTCGGTTCAGCGCCCATCTCTACAACTGAACCTAGGTCGTGTTCATCCTAAGATGATAACAGGAAAATGAACGTAATCTGAACCTGAGATAAACCTAGTTTTACAAATGGTCAGAAACAAGATATATATGCATCACAAACAACTAAGCAATGAGTAGTGAACTTTGAATCTGTGTGTAATTCAAGCGGCCCAATGTGAACTTTGTAAGGAAATCAAATATGAGACAGTAAGCAAACAGAGCATTTGAATTTAGCACTTGAACGGTGCACCATTCTTCCGTATCACCATCAAACCTCTAGCCACGTTCGGACGCTCAGCCCATCAATCGTAAGGACCGCTCACTCACTCAACCTGGTACTCCATCCGCCCTTGATCTCTCGTTCTATCCTTCCCGTCGCTCCTCTAACATTCTTCTGTCTCACCACCATGGCCACCAGGTCTTTTGCCTTCAACCAGCTGTATGGGAGCATACCAAGCACTCTCACCCAGACCACGAAGCTCACATACTTGTACGACCCACACGCTACCTCAAAGTTAAGTTTGAGGTCAGCGAACACTGAACACTAACCAGTACCAATCAGGAGAACATCCCTGATCAGATCAGGGTGACACCATATGTATGCCCGTGGTTGCCATGCTAGCGCTCTGTAGACCCATCTTCACATCCCTTAGATTGCTGCCTCATTCTCCCTTCACCTCCTACTTCCCTCGTCTCACACCACTATCCGCATAGGCCTCTTCTTTTTCTGCATCTTCTGCATCCTTCTCGTCCACCTCCCCTTCCACTTCTGCTCCACTTCTCGTTGACTCCTCATGGTTCTCCTCATTCTTGTTGCCAACACTTGTCTGTCCCTTTCTGCTCCCTCATCCGGACATCCTATATACTCAACAACGCACTCACATCTTCGCTACCTGCACTCCAGTTTTTTATACAATGTGCATTGAGGCAATCCCCATCCGTCCTTCTCCCCGGACTTACCCCTCTCCCCTGCAGCGACCTCTCTCACAACTACCTCACAGGTCGCGCACTGAAGCCTCTTGCTGTGCGCACCCTGGATCTCTCCAGCAACTTCCTCTCGGGCACTCTGCCCGACGGGGCATGCCAGCCTCTTTCTTTTGATGCCAACTGCTTCACGCTGCCACTGGGCTGTGCCTTGGTGCCGCAGCGGCAGAAGGCAGCATGCAATGCATTCTGTGGCGTCTCCTCTGCAGCTGGTGGTGCTTCTGCATGTGGTGGACATGGAGTGTGCTATCCACAGGGGCCTAACTTGGCACCCACATGTCTGTGCGATGCGGGATTCGTGCGCTCTGGAGACATTGACTGTGTTGCTCAAGGTAGGGGGCACCACTTGAAGTCGATGGAATGGTGGGACGTCCATCCGTTGGTTATAAATTCGTCCGACCTTCTTTGATTTTGTAAGCCTTGCATCCCATGTCACCCTCTCATGCTCTCCATATCCCACTCCTGTCCGCCCGGCCGTTACTTCTGTTTGTGCAGGCCAGAACATGACTTACTCAAGCAGCCAGCCGGTTCTCCCGCCAGCATCTGTGCTCACCAAGGGGACACAGCGGGAGACGAGGGGAAACTTCACCACAGCTCCGGTGACTCTGTTTGTGTACGAGGCAGGGCAGCGGCTGTCGGGGTGTGGACTGCAGCTCGCCTTCCATGCCAACTTCACCTTCTCCCTCTCGCCTCAATCCGGCCGCGTGGGCTTCAACGGCTTTGCCTTTGTTATCTCGGCAACGGACCGGGTGGGGAGAGGCATCGGTGTGGGGTATGGTGGAATGGACATGCGAAGTGTGGCAGTTGAGTTTGACACTCGGCAGGACAAGCAGCACGGCGACATGAGCAGCCAGCATGTGGGGCTGAATGTTCGAGGCGAGGACAAGTCGCTAGCCGCTGTGCCGTCACCGTTCCCTCTAAGCAGCAAGAAGGCGTACACAGCATGGGTGGACTATGAGCCGGGGGATCCCGGCACCATCCAAGTCTTCCTGGCTGACTCGAAGGAGAAGCCACAGGAGGCGGTGCTGGAGAGGAGGCTGGCGCTGTGCGAGGTGCTGCAGGGTGGGGCGGAGCAGCACGCCTTCTTCTTTGGCTTCGTGGCCTCCACCACTGTGAAGCCGTTTCAGAAGCACGTCATTCTCGAATCTACAGTGGACACAGGTTAGCATAGACATGAGCAGAACACCTACACGAGTCGAATTTTGCTCGACTCGCTTTTCTGCTGAGTCGATCAAGTCTTGAGTAGTCAAGTAAAGCTTGACCAAGTTTTTTTTTTATGCTCTGACCTGACTCGTTACTGAGCATTTTGAAAATCGAACGAGTTTAACTGGCAATTGGTATTAATTAGGGCCTAAACACAAAACTTCTTATTTTTCTCCATTTGCTTTGTCCTTTCCCAGGCCTTCCTGCTTCTCCCCGATCAGTCACACGTACTCCAGGTGAGAAAACGTTTCTCATGCTCGTGCTTGGTCCTCTCGTTTTAACCTTCATCCTTCAATCCACTCTCCATGTCCCGGTACCTTGTCTTCCTTTTTTTGGCCCCTGTGATATAACATACAGATGCCTTTGATAGAAAAGGTACGAGTATGCATATTCAGCCAAAGGTGGTACATGGTGCACTATGCACCAACCAACATCCCAAGATCATGTTTACGATATACCTTATCTAAAAACAACTGAAAAGGACTAAAAAAACGGAATCTGAGCAACGTTACGGTGTGCCGAATTGGGGGAGGTGCCTAAATACATTACAGTTGCCGAAGGGGGTATCAAAATAGGTGCATCATCACTGAATACATGGAGCAGGGTGGAACGTAGTGCCTGTTAGATAGATGTGAAATGGCAATCAACCAACAACCAGATTCTATGAGATAAGAGATGCAGCCCAGCAAAGTATGGAAAACTAAAACTTGACTGTACTTATGATGGATTGTCCCAATTCAGATTGCCGTTGGCACAACCTGTCTTGATGACATCCCATTCATTCCCCCATGCTGCAACTCTTGAGAGCATCCCAGCCTATGGCCTGCAGCTGTTAACGAACACGTACATGCCATCATGGGCCAGCCCCTTCCCACGCTACGTGAGTGCGGACTACCGAGTGGCGCCCAGCAAGCAAGACTCGTGGGTTATCATCGACTTCCACTCCTGGGACTCCGTGCCCTTCCTCGGCTGGCCTGTCAAGGACCAGAAAGACTGCAGTGAGTGAAATGAATGGCGAACTGGAGCCAATAGCTTGGCTGGTGTCTTATAAATAGTTCTCCGCCACCTGCTCTGCTGCTGGCCACATGTTTCAGCCAGCCATCTCACAATACTTTGCTCTATACGTGCTTGGATCCACTGTGGTTATTCACCACTTTGTTTCAAAATTCTTCGGATCCACTTTGTTTTGTTCATTCACGAAACTGTTCTTCACATACACAGATGCTTGTTGGGCGTTTGCACTGGTGGCAAGTGTGGAAGCTGCATACGGCATTGCAACGAATGGAGAGGCGCCGCAGCTGTTAGTGGAGTCACTCTTTGCAGCCATGGGGCTCACCTCCGAGGCTGACAAGTGCAGCACGGGGGGCTCCCCCACCGAGGCGCTTGAAACGCTTCTCACGCTGCCCAATGGCGGAATCACAGAGGCTGGCGCACCTGTGAGTAGTGAGGTGGAGGGGTAGAAGGCTAGAGAGGATAGATGTTTGTGAGAGAATTGTGATCTCTGAGTATTGTGCCTGATGTTGAGACACTACAACTAGTGACACAAAGACTCTTCTCTGGGTTATAGAGTTAGTCATTGCAGTCGCTGTCAACGATTGCAATCTCTAACACATCTGAACTAATTGCTCTATAGCATAGAATCTATCTCGAAGTTAGATATGCTAAAATGGATTGGTCGAGCCAAAAGGCCCAAGTCATTCATGCAAGCGACAAACAGATTCTACCATGACAAACGGAGAAAAGGCTGACTAAGCCTGTAAACAAACAACTCAGTATTCGTTGGTATTCGGGGCTGGACTGAAAACTCAGATGCTTAATCGAATTTGTCGCAGCATGCTATTTGCATATATCTGTTCATCAAGTATTCTTGCCCTAACGCTCGAGCGATCGAGGGATTCGTACACATCGTGGGCTGAGGAGATAAAGCTTTCACGCTCCACACCTAGACGATTCTGTGAGGGATGACTAGAACTATGATGAAGATATTAAAAGAATAGAAAAGCGAAAGCTGGGTGTATTCGATTCATATTCGCAATACAACCTTGAACACTATTTGCAATATATCTAGAAACACATTATGACTCATTTGTACAGCTTAGAACAAGCTTAATTCAAGTTGAATGAGTGTATTATGTATGTAGTAGCCATCTGATCATGCACCCCAATGTTGTACTGCTTGCTATTGTTGGCTAGTTTAAACCAGGTTAGTCTTGTCTTGTTGCATGCATTTTCAGCAAGCGAATGTTGTTCTCTTTCTTTTGAGACCTCTTATTGTGTTTATTTCTCTTCCTTCCAACATGTTGCGAAATTCCCTTTGAGCTGTCAACATTCAGAATAAGAAGTACCCTGTTCACGCATTTGAGCGCACTCGATTCAAGGGATTCGTGGGGCTCATGCTGGCAGTTCGACGACAGCCAGTGGTGGTTCACATAGAGGCTTCTTCTCGAGATTTCGCGCAATATGACGGGGTGGGTGCTGCCTGCATTGACCCTGTATGATGTGCATAGGTTGAAATTGTTTTACAGAAGTTGTTACCCACATCAATCTGTACATTTTTAAAACACCCATTCCCATTTTTGTTGCGATGTCCCTCTTTCTCTTCAGACCTTCAAGCACCAGGATCCTGGCTGCTACACCGGTAGACTGAACCACGCTGTACTCGTTGTTGGCTACTTCATCTTCAGAAATGACGGCAGCCAAAATCGCATTGCGCCTCCTACTCCTGCATCTGCCCTCTCAACTACGTTGAAAGCACAACCATTGACAGCTTCCCCACCTGCGACCCAGGTGCTGCTGCTTTGGCCTTGCTTGCGAGAAGTTTATTACTTCTTTTGGTTATGATTGTACCAAATGTCGGGGTCGTCATGACCCTGTTGAACTGCCTCTGTTCCCCGGCAGCCATGAGCAAACCACCAAACTGAACCACAATCGATATTATTATGTCGAACCGGACCGGTTTGATCCAAATCAGGGGCTGTTCGAATCGAACCAAACCAGTTCGATTTGCCGTCAACAGTCACAAAATGCACATGTTTCCCACCTGATCTTCTTGTTTTGTACTTTCATTTTCTGGGGGTATTGAAGACAAATAACATAATAATCATTGCAAACATGAGACAAGCATGTGAATATAAGTTGGTTCGATGGAACCTAAATCAGCGTCGAACTGCTCTAGTTTGATGTGGCTCGAATTAAATAGGCACCGAACCAGTCGAACTGATTGTATTGGGCGATAAAAAACGGCTGTGGTTCGATTGTTTGCTCATGCCTCCAGCCCTGTGATGTGAACACAGAAGTCAGTAAGTCTGTTTTCAGTTATGCCCCTCTATTTGGTGTATTCCTCTTTTTCCGATCTCGCCCCTTTTCAGCCAACATCATGGCCAGCACCCTGGCAGTGAGTGGCAGCAACTGGTGGTGCTCCGATGTCCTCCCTCTTGTGGGCCTCTCACTTGCACAATTCACGCAGAATAATGCGGTAAGCGGTAGAGATGGCGAGTCTGGAAGAGTGGAAATGCGGGCAGCGATGGGTTTACAGTTTAGGGTTTCGGGTTTAAGGTACAGCAGGAAAGCATGAACCGCAGTGTTCAGGGGTCGAAGTAGCCCCACAAATTCCTGAAATTGGCTATTCTTCACATTCTATGTTTTGTGCTCCTCGTTACAGGCCATTGACTGCAGTCGTCCTTTGCCTCGTAACGTGGTGCTTTTGCTGGGGGTTTCTCTCCTCGTTCCCTGCACTGCATTCTTCTACACCATCAGCGTGAGCTTTAGCCCTTGTTGTTCTTCTTTCTTCTACATTTCACCGAATCATTCCTCTCTTCCGAAATTTATCCCCTCTGCTCTAATTGGCTAAGCAATAGTAGTCTAGCAACCCAGCCTACTTCAGCATTGCACGAAGTACAGCAGTCCTGCTTTCACCTCCATGGCTTATGTATTGTACCTTCTCTCTTGTTGTTCAAACCTCTAAAGCTATCTTTTACGCTCACACCATGAGCTTTAGCCCTTCTCATCATCATTCCGCTCTTCAAGCTGCACTCTCCTCTGCTCTGCATCGGCTCAGCAAGGCAATCTTATCATCTCAGCCTAAGTTTTACTGCTCATAGTAAAGCCGTACTCCATTCACCGCAGGCATCTGTGCATTTTCTCCCATTTTTCAACCCTTTAGAGCGACACATGCTGGTCCATCAGTACGCAGCTGGGCCTCACCAGCAGCAACCTCACTGCTCTCAATCCCTGCCTCGACTGCTCTGAGTCCATCAAGGCGGGCCGCTCTCTGTGCGTCGAGCGCAACGCCACCTTCGCTTTCACCGTCCCTCAGTGCTCACGATACGGCGTGCTCACACCACAGGACACCTGCGAGCGCCTGCTGCGGCAGGTGGCGGGGGGTGAGGGCGACCCAACAGGGGCTGGGGAGGTGAATGCCATGCGCTGGGCTGAGCTGTACCGCAACAATCCCGGCCTCATCTGCTCCGATGTCATCCCGATCACCGCCTCTGCTGTTGGCAGCAACACTGGCATGCAGGTGTGTGGTGGAGGGGAGAATGGACCAGGAAGGAGGTGCAAGAGATGGGAGGAAAAGGTGGAGGGAAAACTGTGGAATGAAGGGTGTTCGATGGGTGAGGGTGCAATGGTCGTCTCTCATGTGCTCTTGCTGAACATTTCGTAAACCCTTTGTTCCAAAATTTTCCCTTAATCGGAATAATATTCTTATTGTTCCTATCTCTTCCTTTAACTCCCTCTATGTGTGTTTCTTCCATTCGTTGTGTTTGTGAATGGCAACACTGCAGATTTGCCTACGAGCAGATTATTGGGCTTTTGTTATTGGCAAGTGCAAGAAGGGTAGGCAAAAACCAGTATCGCCATCATTGACGTGCTCAGGCGCATACAGCTTCTATGGTGGAGCTCAGAATGGAGCCATTTCAAAATACTACATGTACAATGAGAAGAAGTGTGTTGGGAGTGTAGGCTCCAGGTTTATTTGTGTGCCATGAATATGACCTTGGATGGCTGTGGCCTTGTCTGTCGGTACGGTATGTCACGCTGCGTGACGGTCCTCATTATCAGATGAATGATGTCTGCTTCTGAGATTTTCATACGGGTTTTATGCTAACTTTGTTTCGTCGAAACCCAAGAACAAACTGGCGTCGGGTTTTCTAGGGGGTCCCGTACAGGGCTAATTTTATCAGTGTAAATCACCCTGATACCCTGATTATCAAGGTGGTTTTTGGTAGTCACACTCATGGCCTAGGGTAATTTTTTATGGAGCTAGGATTTTCCTGATATGCCAGGGTTTATATTTAAGGCACACTGATGCCTCAGGGTTACCGTTCTTCAAAACGAGTTTTACCCTGAAGCGAGTACCGTCATACCCCGGATATAAGCGCCACCCTCGGATAAGCGCCTGGCACCTCGAGATACCAGCCGGAGGTCACCTTCGCCATTGCCGCCTCGACGAGCCTCGCGTGCCTCCGCAGAACCTCGTCGAGGAGGTAACCTGGTCGACCGGGTCGACCACCCGGCGCCCTGGTCAACGAGCCCCTTCGTCAACCACGCCAGTCAATACCTGCCGCAGGCTTCCCGTCGTCGGCGGCTTCGCAGCTGTCAAGGTCGACCAACTTCGTCGGCCTGCACGCGTCGACCTCTGCAGATGGTCGGCAGCACCTCCCGCGCACCCGACCACAACGTTGGCTATGCCCAATCGAGGGCGGGGTTAACGTCCTATTCTCGTTAACACGCATGCCTTCGCAGTCGCGCATGCCTTTGCAGCCGCGTGTGTAGCTATACCAGCAGCCCCACGCACAGCTACCCACGCACTAGGAGCCGCGCGCACAGCTGCACGTGCCTGACCGCACTCCACCGCCTCCACCGCATTCCACCGCTCCCGACTGCACTCCACCACACTGAACCGTACCTGACCACTCCCCACCGCACTAGACCGCTCCCATTCGCACCTAGTTACCCGTGCAGCACCTTCCAGCGCCTACTGCCACTGGTCTTCTACCCGCAGTGCACTCTACTAGCAACTTAGGTTCGTGTTTTGGTTAGTGCTCCTAGCCTCGCCTCTCTAGCCTCGCTACTTCCTCGGGCGCCATATGCGTTGGCACCTAACGTACTGGCGCCATGTGGGTTGGTGCCTAGCGCGCTGGCGCTATGTGCGCTGGCGCCTAACGCGCTGGCGCCGTGTGCGTTGGCGCCTAACGCGATGGCGCCTAACGTGCTGGCGCCACACGTGCTGGCGCCACACGTGCTGGCGCCACACGCACTGGTGCCTAACGCGCTGGCGCCAGTTGCGCTTGCGCCTAGCGCAGTGGCGCCATGTGCGGTGGTGCCTAATTCGTTGCCGCCATTTGCGCTGGTGCCTTAAGCGCCCGCGCCTTAGGCATTGGTGAGTCTGCCTTAGGCCTTTTGGGCAGGCCTTCATTAATGCTAAGCGCGTTGGCCCTAGGTCTCTCACGCCTTGGGTGCTGGTGCCTTGGGCGCATTGGCGCTTATGTGCGTTGGCCCTACGACGTATGCACCTAGGGCGCTTGCGGCGATAGCGCCATAGGCGTTGATGCCTTGGGTGATTGGTTGTGCCTTTGGAGCTGGAGCGTTTGCGCCTAGAACGTTGGGTGTGGTTTTGGTGCCAATACCATTTATGCTCTCTTTCCTTTTTGCTGTAGGTGATGCATTCCGTGCATGCTGATGTGGTGTGCATAATGCCTTGGAATTTAATTTCACACCATGTGTGTGAGTCGTCAAGTTGGATTTCCCTTCAATATTCATGTTTTATCAATTTATGGCATTGTTAGAACAACCCTTACCATCAATGCAACGTGCTATCGCCTTGCTGAAGTGGGATGGCGCCTTACATAACTCACTGCATTTACTCACAACAATATTTTTTTTTGCGTTACCTGTGTGTTTTGCAGGATGTGCGAGCCACATTGAAGGGAGCTGAAAATGGAATGCCAGGGAAACACGTGGAAAACCCGCGGGGATAAACAGGGAAGGGGGAACGGGATAGGAAGGGTGGGAATGCTAGCAGTGATTGTTACATATTCAACTTCTTGTGACTCTTTGTTACGCTTGTTTGCTCTCTCTATCCACATTGTATGTATGTGTATATACGTGTGTGTCAGTGCGTGTGTGTTCGTGCGTGTGTGTGTGTGCGTGTGCTTGTGTGTAAGTTGATCACGTCATTCATATCAGTTGGTTGTGATTGTTTCAAGGTGTGGTGCTGGTATGCATCGTTTTTGGAGCTGGGGTTGTCATCATCGTTGGGGCAGAGGGTTTTTGCTGCTTCGACCCCATCAATCTCAATTTCAGCATTGGTGTATATCAAGCATCCACTTCGATGCGTTCACAACCGTTCCGTAGTGTCGTACATTTTTACGTGCGTGTGCGTTCGTGTTTGTGGGTGTGTGTTTTAAAGTGTGGTGTTAGTATGTGTCATGTATGCAATTAGAGGTTGTTAATCGTCTTTGGGTCAGCGCGTTTTCGCTGTTTCAACGACCCCATCAACCTCTGTTGCTACATGATGCATTTTAATATTCATTTTGAAGCATCCACATCACCTCATACCTTGCTCATTCTTTTGCTCATTTGTACAATTGATTGTGTTCATGTTGATGCCATAATATGACACTTGGCCGTACCATCCGCCTTATTTATCGACAATGCAGGGACGGTCGAGCAATTTCATGGTTTCAACATGATACGTACGTGCATACCGTATGGCCCGGAATATAAGCGCATGCCTATTAGAAGCGCATGCGCTTCTATCTGGAGTGGTGCGCCGGCCGATCCTCGATTATAAGCGCACCCCCTAAAAAACCTGATTTATTAGTAGCGCATGTAACGATTCTCACTTTAGCAGGCCGATGAGTTGAAAATTCGATTTCCTTCGTATTCAAACTCTTCACAGGGCTGTCAGCATGCGCGTCCAGTCAGCATGTGCTGTCAGAAGCTCCTAGTGACTCATTTTGAGTATATGTGCTGGTAGGGAATCTTTCCCTGCGAAGTTGCGAGAGATTTTCACCCACATCCTTGTTTTAATTATAACTCGATTAAGTGCGCAAGGACGCAACCTACATTTTGTCAGAACCATGCATATATGCTCCAGGCTGTAGTGGGGCACTCCTTATGGGGTACAGCCCAAATTAGGTTTTGCCTATACAAACCTTGTACTGCTCATTTCTAGTCATTCCTTCCTTCACATTTCTGACATGGTATTATGAGCAGGTTCCCTCGTGGGAACGTTTTTTTTAGGGCCCACCACGATTAGAATTTTTTTTTTCCTGCCCTGCCCGAAGCGCGCCCCGCGCCTGCCTCACCTGCGCCATCGCGCGCCCTGCCCTAGTGCCACCCGTCGCGGCCCTGCCTTCTCGGCCCATCGCGGCCCTGCCCTAACGGCCCGTCGCAGCCCTGCCTAGCCGCCCGTCGCGGCCTTGCCCTGTCGCCGCCTCGTCGCGGCCCCGACCTCGCCGCCTCGTCGCGGCCCTGCCCTGCCGCCACCCGCGGCCCTGCCTTGCCGCCCGTTGCGGCCTGACCTAGCCGCCCGTCGCGGCCCCACCCTGCCGCCCCTCGTCGCGGCTCTGACCTCGTCACCCGCCGCGGCCTCTGCCCTGCCGCTGCTCGTCGCGGCCCTGCTCTACCGCTGCCCAGTCGCGGCCCTGCCCTGCTGCCGCCCTGTCACGGCCCTGCTCTGCCGTCGACTCGTCGCAGCCCTGCCCTTCAGCCGCCCCAGTCGCGGCCCTGACCTAACCGCCAGCTGCGGCCCTGCCCTGCACCCGCCCCTGGTAAGCACCCGCGCCGCCCAGACGAGCCGCGCCGCCCAGCCGAGCCGCGCCGCCCTGCCGAGCCGCGCCGTCCAGCTGAGCCGCGCCGCCCAGTCTAGCCGCGCCGCCCTACTGAGCCGCACTGCCCTGCCCGCGCTGCTCCTGCTGCTACTGCTGCTACTGCAGTCATGGCTAGCCCTAATGTTCTTACCTTCGATGCTGAGGGTCGAGTGGTCGATTTAGAGGTCTGGGTCGATGACCTGCAGCTCTTTCTGCAGTGCGACTCTAGGGACGGAGTTTCACTGTTCGATCTCACGTCCGGCGCCTCTGTTGCACCTGCTGCCGATGCTGACAGTGCAGCTCGCTCGCAGTGAACCACTCGTGACGCTGCTGCTCGCCTAGCTGTTCGTAGCCACCTGTCGTCTACTGAGCGCGCACACTTTAGCCAGTACAGGACTGCTAAGACTCTGTATGACGCTGTTGTTGCGCGCTACTCCTCCCCTGCCACTGCTGCCCTCAGCCGCCTCATGCTGCCGTACCTGTTCCCTGACCTTCCCGCCTTTGCCACAGTCGCTGACCTCGTTTCCCACCTCCGCACTAGTGACGCCCGCTACCGCGCTGCACTTCCCACTGAGTTCTGCGCCAAGAACCCCCCCCCCCCCATGTACATCACCCTCTACTATCTAGTCACCCATCTCCCTGACTCCCTTTCTTCAGTCAGGGACCACTTTCTCTCCCTTTGCCCCACCGAGCTTACCGTCGACCTGCTAGAGAAGCGCCTCACTGCAGCTGAGAAGAGTATCGTTGCTGTAGGTGCTTCTCGCGGCGACCCTCGCGCCCCTTTCTTTGAGGGGTGTTCCCCCGTCCCCCTTCTCCCCTCTGTTGCTTCTGCAGCTGCTGTCGACCTCGTTGGCACTGAGGAGGTCGGGGCTGCGTCTGCTCTTAGTGGGAGGTGCCGCAACGGCAAGGGCAAGGGGAGCAAGGGCGGTAGAGGGGACGGTGGGGGAGGCGGTGGAGGCGGTGGAGGAGGCGGAGGGGGTGGCGGTGGAGGTGGTGGTGGTGGCGGGAGTGGGGGCGTCGGTGGCGGCGGTTGGGGCAGCGGAGGTGGAGGCAACGGAGGTGGTGGCAGCGGCAGCGGTGGTGGAGGTGGCAGCGGCGGTGGTGTTGGTCGAGGTGGAGCTGCGCAGCGTGGAGGCTTTGGCGGGAGCCAGCGCCAGCAGTAGCCGCGTTCCCGTGAGACCCCGTCGCCCCTACGCTGGGCGTGGGAGGTTTGGGGGTGCTGGTCCCTGCACTTACGTTCTTCGCACCGGCGGGCGCCGTGGGGAGACGTGCGGACTGCCCCACACTTCTCAGCTCTGCTTCGGGCGCCTGACTGACGCCTGGCGCGCCCAGTTTCCTGACGCCACTGAGCTCCCTCGCTGGGGTGATCTGCTTAAGCAGAATGTTGCTATCTTTGATCTTGACTTCGATGCTATCCTTGCTGCTATGTATGCTGTGACTGATAGTGCTGAGGGTGACTATTACCTGTGTGTTCCGCCCGACCCGGGCATTGAGGCTGCTGCTCTAGGTGCTAGTGAGTCTGCTGCTCCAGGTGCTGGTGAGTCTGCTCTCTCTGGTACTGCACCTACTGAGGCCTTGCACACTTTCACACTTGACTCAGGTGCTTCGCGCTCCTTCTGTCGCGATAGCACCACACTTACGCCGCTCGGTCGGCCTGTTGCAGTCTCCCTGGCTGACCCCTCTGGGGGCCCAGTCCTTGCGCACTCCTCCACGGTTCTACCGTGTCCTGCGGCTCCGTCGGGCGTACTGTCGTGACTCCACCTCCCCTCGTTCTCTACGAACTTGGTGAGTGGAGCTGACCTCCAGGACGTGTGGGTTGACCAGTTCACCCTTGCACGACAGCGTGTGACCCACTGTACGTGCTCTCGGACGGGCCGCCACCTGGCCACGTTCACCGGTCGGCCTGGGTCGAGCCTGTACACACTGACTACTGCGTCTGGTTAGGTAGCTGCGTCTGGTCAGATGTTTGCTGCCGCGTCCAGGTCTGGTCCGGAGTCTGCCCCCTGCTCGTGTCGTCCTCTGTCACACGAGACTCTCCTTTGGCACCACCGCCTTGGCCACCCCTCCCTGCCTCATCTTCGAGGCATGGCCTCCCGTACCCTTGTCTCTGGTCTCCCCCGGTCCCCCCCTCCCCTTCCTCCGGGGCCTGCCCCTACCTGTGTTCCCTGCGTCGAGGGCCGGCAGCGCGCGGCTCCTCACTCCTCCGAGTTTCCTCCGACAGAGGCTCCGCTGCAGACTCTCCACATGGACGTGTGGGGCCCAGCCCGCGTCCGTGGACAGGGTCACGAGCGTTACTTCCTGCTGGTTGTTGACGACTACTCGCGTTACACCACAGTCTTCGTCTGCACTCAGACAGAGGTGGTGAGTTTTCCTCCGACCTTCTGAGGGATTTCTGTTATGCGGAGGGCATCCGCCAGACGTTCACGCTTCCGGCCTCCCCACAGCAAAATGGGATTGCTGAGCGCCGCATTGGCATGGTCATGGACGTCGCTCGTACGTCCATGATCCATGCGGCTGCTCCCCATTTTCTGTGGCCGTTCGCGGTTCAGTACGCTGCGCATCAGCTCAACCTTCAGCCTCGTGTCTCCTTGACGGAGACCACACCTACTTTGCGGTGGACGGGGAAGGTTGGCGATGCGTCTGTGTTTCGTGTCTGGGGATCTCGAGCTTTTGTCCGAGATTCTTCCGCGGACAAGCTGTCCTCCCGTTCTGTTCCCTCCATCTTCCTTGGCTTCCCCCCTGACGCGCCTGGCTGGCAGTTTTACCACCCCACCTCGCGTCGTGTTCTGTCCTCTCACGACGTCACGTTTGACGAGTCGGTATCCTACTACCATCTCTTTCCCTACCGCACTGCCCCTCGCCCCCCCCCGCCGCTCTTCCTCGCACCAGGTCCTCCTCCGGTAGACCCCCTCCCCCCTCAGGTTCCTGCCCCTTCAGGTGTGTCCCAGGTAGACCCTGTCGAGCCTGTCGAGGTAGTTGTCGAGTCTGGTGCTGCTAGGGGTGCTGAGCCTGGGGGTGCTGAGTCTGGGGGTGCTGAGCCTGGGGGTGCGGAGCTTGTGGGTGCTGAGTCTGGGGGTGCTGAGCCTGGAGTTGCTGAGCCTGGGGGTGCTGAGCCTGTGCGTACTGAGCCTGGAGGTACTTTGTCCGCTGGCGGTCCTACTGGTGTCTTACCCCGGCGGGAGCCACTCTCTCCACCGCAGCTGCGCGAGTGGTTTGCTCGGCACTGGAGCCATGGTGCTGGAGCTGGAGGTACTGCTGGTGCTGGAGCTGCTGGAGGTGCTGGAGTCGCTGGTCCTGGAGGTGCTCGTACTGGAGGTACTGGAGCTGCTGGAGCTGGTGGTGCTGCAGGAGTTGGAGCTGGAGACGCTGGCACTGTGACCGCTGGGGGTGCTGCTAGAGCTGGAGCTGCTGGTGGTGCTGGAGCTGGTGGTGCTGCAGGTGTTGGCTTTGGAGCTGTTACCGCTGGAGGTACTGCTGGAGCTGGAGCTGCTGGCAGTGCTGGAGATGGTGGTGCTGAGGGAGTTGGAGCTGGAGACCCTGGCGCTGGGAGTACTGGTGCTGTCTCTGCTGGTTCTGGAGGCGCTGCGCGGCCGGGGCCGTACTTCGTTCCCCTCCTTCAGCAGGTTCTTGGTCTCCCGCCTCCTCATGGTCCTACTCCTCCGTTACTGTGTCCACAGCCTGTCCAGTCGCAGTCGCAGTTACAGCCAGCCTCTCCACTGCGTGGTCCTTTTCCTTATTCTGGGCCGACTGGAGGTCTTACGGAGCGTCGTGAGCCTGAGTCTCATCCTGCGTCGCCTGAGTCTCGTCCTGCATCGCCTGTTCGCGCTGGTCGCACTGGTAGTCGTGTTCCGCGTCCGCGTCCTACTGCTGTCCCAGGCACGCACAGGATGGCGCTTCGTCCTTCCACTTCTCCGCTGCGTGTCCCTCTGCCGTCTCCTCCTGCGTCCTCCCATGCTGACGGTCCTGACCCGGAGTCTGACTCCCTTCGTGCTGCTAGTCCTACTGTCACGTGTCTCCTGGCCACTGTTGTCACTGACCCGTCATTTGAGTCCACTGCTTCGTCTTCCCTAGCTGCAGAGCTTGTTGACTTTGCTGCCGCCTGTCGTCTAGACTACTCTGCTAGCCTTGTTGCTGAGTCTGTCTGTCCTCCATCCGTCGGGGGTGAGTGTGCTCTTGGCACGGACGTCCTTGAGGACAGGCAGGAGGAGTTTGAGTGCTTTGCCGCTGCTTTACCTCATCTCGTGTCCATGCTGATTGCCCCTGAGGGAGACCCGGATGCACCAGACATCCCGACCCCGCTCTCTTACGCAGAGGCGATAGAGGGTCCCTACTCCTCTTAGTGGCAGACAGCCATGGACGCAGAGATGGCTTCCTGGAAGTCCACAGGCACCTACGTCGACGAGGTTCCCCCGCCTGGGGCGAACATCGTCAGTGGCATGTGGATTTTCAGGGTGAAGCGGCCGCCGGGTTCTCCGCCTGTCTTCAAGGCGCATTACGTTGCACGAGGCTTCAGTCAGCGAGAGGGAGTTGACTTCTTCCCGACCTTCTCCCTCACCCCGAAGATGACCACTCTTCGGGTTCTGCGGCACGTTGCTGCTCAGCGTGACTACGAGCTGCACTCTCTTTACTTCAGCACTGCTTTCCTACAGGGCAGCCTACACGAGGAGATCTGGTTGCGCCGCCCACCTGGCTTCACTGGGTCGTTTCCTGCAGGTACCCAGTGGAGCCTCCGGCGGCCAGTTTACGGTCTCCGCCAGGCGCCTCGCGAGTGGCACGACACACTGAGGACGACATTTGCGGCTCTTGGGTTTGTTCCTTCTACTAATGACCCGTCGCTGTTTCTACGCACCGACACTTCCCTGCCGCCGTTCTACATCCTCGTGTACGTCGACGACTTGGTCTTTGCCACTGCTGACACTGTTGGACTGGCCCACGTGAAGTCGGAGCTGCAGAAGAGACACACGTGCACGGACGTGGGTGAACTGCGCAACTATCTTGCCTTGCAGATCACCCGGGACAGAGCACAGCGCACCATTACCTTGACTCAGTCACACATGGTGCAGCAGGTCCTTCAGCGCTTCCGCTTCGAGTACTCCTCGCCACAGTCCACTCCTCTGCCTACCGGTCACTCGCTCTCAGCTCTGCCTTCGGATGAGTCCGTAGAGCCGAGTGGCCCGTATCCAGAGCTTGTGGGCTGCCTCATGTACCTGATGACATGTACTCGACCTGACCTCGCTTACCCTCTTAGCATCCTGGCTCGCTAGGTTGCGCCCGGGAGACACCGACCAGAGCACTGGAAGGCCGCTAAGAGGGTGATGCGCTACTTGTGCAGTACGTCGGGCATGGGGCTCGTGCTTGGAGGACGGGCTCGAGTTGTCCTCACTGGTCACGCAGACGCTTCTTGGGTTGACGACTTGGCTACGCAGCGGTCGTCACAGGGTTACACCTTCAGCCTTGGCTCCTGCTCTGTCTTGTGGCGGTCTACCCGCTCGTCTTCTGTTCTCAGCTCCAGTTGTGAGGCTGAGATCTACGCAGGGGCCATGGCTGCAGGGGAGTTACGCTGACTCACCTACCTGCTGACTGACTTGGGAGAGCCGCCTCGTTCTCCTCCAGTTCTGTACGTCGACAACAAGGCCATGATTGCCTTGTGTCAGGAGCACAGACTGGAGCACAGAACGAAGCACATCGCTATGCGCTACTTCCTTGCTCGAGAGTTGCAGCAGCGTGGTCAGCTTCGTTTTTGTGTACGTGGCCTCTCGGGCCAACACTGCTGATATCTTCACCAAGGCACTTCAGCCTTGTGATCATCAGCGTTTCTGTACTGTTCTAGGCCTTGTGCCTACTTGGCCTCTCTTGCTCACTTCTTGACTTTGCTTGTACTGTGATCTATATACTTATACCTGCATGCTTCCACTTGCTAGGCTTTGATCACTGCATTGCTTGTTCTGCTTTATATAACGCTGCATGTGAACTGGCCTTGTGGCCATTTGCTTGTGCTCAGAATGCGTGGTGACGTTGTGATCCACCCTGAGCTTGACCTTGTCTCGTTCACTTGCTCGTCCCCCACTTTGCCTATGAGGGTGTGTCAGAACCATGCATATATGCTCTAGGCTGTAGTGGGGCACTCCTTATGGGGTACAGCCCAAATTAGGTTTTGCCTATACAAACCTTGTACTGCTCATTTCTAGTCATTCCTTCCTTCACATTTCTGACCATTTTCCCTAGGATATGAGGACGCCTGATGCATCAGACGCCCCTCCTGGGCATTAGTCTTAGAAGTTGAACAGAGGAATGATTGCATTAGGGTTAGGAAGCTGTACAAATAGGAACCCTAGCAATATGCTGTACTCCTTATAATGCTACTCACTGTAACCTAACAACGGATTATAACACTTGCCAATGAGACATGGTTTTGTCTTATGCAAACTAGAAAATCAGATTAAAACAACAAAAACAGTCTGATTATCAGATAAACATACAAAATATTTATTCTAGCGGAAGCCCTAATTTTAGTGCTGAAATATTAATATTGTATGTTTGTTTTTCTATAAGCGCATTTGCTTCTAATTTTTATTGGATTCGAAGAGAACCCCCCTATAAAAACACTTTTTTTTATAATCACAGGTGCGCTTATATGCGGGGTATTACGGTATTTGGTTCCACATTTATGGATATTGTTGCGATCAGAACGTATAGATCGTGCCTAGGATCACCCTAGGAAGGTTCGCAGAGTGTGTGGTAGTGGTGGGCCCTTGACCTCAGATCGGAGTGAATATAAAATAACTGAGATGATAAAAACATGCAGATACATTCGTAAAAAGAAGATTACAGTGAAATACAAAACGACATAGTGTGTCGATGCTGCTTTGAGCACCGCGTGTGATCCGCGGTGGCGTTCACCCTTAAAGAGCACCTCCTCTATCAGCGTTCGCTCCTTCCTCATCTTCACTTGCGCTGACAGGTACGGCGACGGGATCTCCCCCTGCAACTCCGCCGTGAGTCCTGCAACTTCCAGCCTCTCCCGCTCGTTTTCCCGGTAAGCTTCCAACTGTTCTTCCCTGGCCAGCAGCAGCGCCTTAACTTTGTCGTCCGTTGGTCCACCCATGACCATGTGCCGTAGCCGTTCCACCTCCTCCGTGAGGTGCATCTGTGTTGCCGTCACCCTTCTCCTTTCCTCTTTCTTGTGCGCTCGCAGATCTGCTGTCAGTCTTGGTAGCAGGCACTCCAGAGAGCCCCTGCCCTTCTTGTCGAGCGACTCCGTAATTGATTGGACGATCTTTCTCACCCCTCTCCTTTTTCCCCGTGTAGCATGGAACCTCCACAGACCCGGCCCACGCTCGTGCTCCGAGGTGAATTTGAGCCTTATCTTTACGGCGAACCAATGGTCAGTTAACTTCCTCGGCGCCTCCACATGCCGGGCCCCCACCAGATTGCCGAGCAGCGATGTGGATACTAAGGCTCTGTCGATGCGCGTCTTCGACTGCGAGGCCCTGTCTTTGAATGTGTACTCCTTGTCGGTGGGGTGCAGGGCGCGGAAGGCATCACGGAGGTCGTGCGGCTGCCACGCGTCCAAGAAACGCTGGTTCTCCCTCCCCGACCCCAGGCCTGACGACTTATCCAGGTCTGGGTCAGCGACCATATTAAAATCCCCCACCACCAGCAGGTGCTTCGACTGCGGCTGCGCCTGGACGAAGGGTAGCAGGTGTTCCGTGTGAAACTTCGCTCTGTTGTATGCTTGCGTCGAGAGGTATGCAGCTACCAGCCTAAAAGGCTCCTCCCCTCCTTCTACTGTCACCCCTAAGAGTCTCCCCGTTGGATCTGGCAGGGCATCAGAGAAGCGAATGTGCCTTCCAAAAGACACCACCGCCACCCCACCCGCTGACTGGCTCGGTCCAATCGCAGCCCACGCTTTCGGCTTAATCTCTTTCCAAAAATTGTGATCCTCCTTAATCCTCGTGTCTGAGAGAACCATTATGTCCGCTGTCGTTCTTAACCATCTCCTGTTCTTGCTCCGTTTCCCGCTGCTGCCAAGGCCATTCACATTGACCCCGCAGATGGTAAGAAATGGTGTATTACCCATTGATCCACTTGGCAACGAGCCCCTCGCATCCACGGGCTTTATTAATGATGGTACAGCACACGGAAACTACATACGACGCTACAGCTGATGGAATCTGCTCTGTTGTTGATATCTTTGTAAACTTCTCCCCCGCCAGCCTCCCTGAAGCCCACACAGGTACCCTCCAGCGCCACCACACGCACTGCCGGCTAGTCACACCCCATACTCCTTCTTGACTTGCGCGAGGTTCAGCTTCCCCATGCTCAGGCGAGTCGCCGCTCCCGCCTTGAGCAGCCCGGTGCCGTGGCGAACCGACTGGACATGTGCCACCGCCTTCTCGAAACTGGAGCCGTGGGCTTTTCCGCAGTCTTCCTGGGAGCACAGCCACTCCTCCGGACACCACCCGTGGACGTTAAGGCAATCGCAGGATCCGCCAGCAAGGTCTTCAGCGCCGATGAGAGCTTCATGGAAGCCGCTGCTTGGGGGAAGGGTCGTACAGAGGTCAGCATGGAGGCTCACAGCTGTTATAGTCACAATAGGCTTGAATGTGCCTAAAACGAAAGATAGAGAGCACAGACGGATTTCTGCACAGCGGTTTCAAACGTTGATAGCGTTCTGCTCACAGCTGCAAATGACTTGATTCAAATTGGATCTGGAGCGTCTTCACGTCATCTACAATTATCATTTTAGATTGCACGATTTGATAAAGAATTGACGACACAGCGTCGGTTTGAACGAACGGTACTATGGCAGCCACTATAGTCTTAGAACACAAGATAGGAAGAGTTACGAGTTGGGAATGACTCCCAGCTCCTACAAACCCCAAGAGCCGAGGTACAGTGATGTGGAACAGTGCCACACTGTCCCCAACCACGAAAGGTCTCGAAACTACCCTTCACTAGGGCCTACACCAAGTGAAATGTTACACTACACAAAGTAATGTAACTATCTTCAATATCTTCAGATGTACCCTTTTGGCAAGCTTCGAAATCACTTGAGGCTTGACACCAAGGCTCGGGCTCTTCATCACAGACTCATCCTTGAGTTCTTGATGGGTCTGCTGCACACACCTGCGACACGCCGAACGTTCGACACAGGACAAAATAGAAACCGCGCACGACAAAATAGAAACCGCGCGCGAGACACAAACGACCGCGTAACACGCGTCTAGCGATAACTCGCTATTGAGTCGACACACACACACGACATCATGACTCAACATTCACACACAATTATAAGCATGAAATATATATTATCCCATGCCCTCATACCATTCCATACACACACACATGCACGCACACGGACAACAAGCCGAGTGCAAACCGTAGGGTTGCACCAACAAACTCCCCCTCGGATTGTTGGCCTTAGGATATGTTGCTCTCTCAGTTCAGAGCCATCCCAGCCAGCTTGCAACACTTCCAATGCTGCTGCTCCACCAGCCTCTTGGTCATCATGTCAGCCGGCTGCCCCGTGGTCTTCACGTAGCGCAACTCAACTTCACCCGCGGTTACCATGCTCCTCGTCCAATGCCACTTCACTCTCATGTGCTTCGTGAGTCCATGCAACACAGGGTTCTTAGCAAGAGCAATGGCACCCTGGCTGTCACAGTACAGTGGGGTAGGTCCTTGCTGCTCCTCCCCCAATTCAGCCAACAAACGCCGCTGCCACACAATCTCCCGTACGGCACGGAAGAGTGCCATGTACTCGGACTCCACCGAGCTCAAAGCTTGGTCAACCTGCTTCTTGCTCTCCCAAGCAGTTGGGCCTCCACCAACACAGCATATGAAGCCTCCCACACTTGTCATGTCCTCTGGTTCTGATGCATATGAAGCATCCGAGTAGGCGGTGAGGAACAAACGCCCGGGTTCAACACCATCCGCGCCCTTTTGGCGCCTTTGTGCCGCCGCCGAGTATTGCAGCCCAACGGTCGGTGTTTGGCCAAGATACTTGGCCACCCTCATTCCAGCTGCTACCTGCTCCTCATTAGGGCATTGCACAACCCTAGCCAGCTGCCCGGTAGCAAACGCGACGTCCGGTCAGGTGTTTACCGCCGCATACATGAGGCTGCCCACCAACGAGTGAAATCGGCGCCTCTCCTCTTCACCAACGCTCTCCTCCTCTGGTCCCTTCACACACTTGAACCCAGAGGGAAAGGGTGTAGCCACATGGCTTTCACTCTGCCCAAAGTTGGCAGCCAATGCCTCC